ACAAAAAAAAAAAAAAAAAAAAAAAAAAAAAAAGTCTGGCCAAATTTAGAAGGGTGTTTTCCTCTCAAAGTGCTCTGCAAGGAGAAGTGGCTAGTGAGAATTTATTAGGACAACAGATGCATTAATTTTATCTTGAATTTCGAGGCAGGAATTGGAAATGAGGATATCCTACTAGGTGATAAAACTGTCTGTCACAAGACCCCCGAGTACATGTCACTTGCAGAGCGCCTGGAAAACACGCGATGAAAGAAGTTGGTGGAAGGGAGTGGGAGACTAATGCTTTCTGGAGCTCAGTGGCTTGGACCATCACACTTTGTTGTATTTGTTCAGACAGGGAAAACGTGGGAGGTGCTGCAAGCATGCTGTAACAAGAGAGAGATTCTGTATTTATCACTGCAAAGACTAAACACAGCAAGTCACATTACTACTGCAGGGAGAGGAGACTTGCTAAGCCCAGTGCCAGAGGGGTCAGGGCTGCTCCTCAGCCTCCTCTCCCAGTGGCTCCCAGCAAATATGGGGGCCAAAGCGAGAGACGTCCCTTTGTCAGGAAGGAGCAATCCTGCTCCTCTGTCGTGTGCCCAGCCCACTTGCTGTGGGCGAAGGACCAACACTTTCCTGGAGACATGCACACACCACGCACAGCAGCTATTTGGATATACATCCCTTCCTGACTGAAAACTCATGAAATCCAGGCATTGGGACCATGGTCGAAGGCGGTGAAGCTGTTGGAGTGGGACAGACTGTTTTGCTGCTGCTGGGGCAGTTAACTGTCAGTAAGTGTCTGAGGAGCAGCAGAGAGGATGCCTGAACCCCATGCACCCACGTGCTGGTCCTGACAGGTGCCCAGAGCCCAGGTGCAGCCAGGGCTTTGCTCAGCAATCAAAGGGAGCAGCACTCGGCAGTGTAAACAGTAGGATGTGGTGGGAGCAGCGCAGCATCAACCGAGGAACAGCTTGGATTCACGGAGAAGGAAGGGCTGCACATTACACTGTCTACACCGGCTGATGCTGGTACTTCCGATGCCTGGAAAGCTGCCGCCTCCACATCCTCTGCTGCTGGCACACAAGCATTTCCTAACCCTCCACAGCACTGGAATGAAGGAAGGTATCCAGGTATCCAACCCAAGCCATCCCCTGCATCCCCTCAAGCACAGGTGAGCACAGCCCTGGGGCTGTAACCACACGGGGTTTATCCTGGGAGAAGAGCTGCACTGCAGGGCAGGGAATGGAACACCCTCCCTTCCTCTCTTCTCTGAAGAACAAAGTGCCTCCAGCACACCTGAAAAGGCAGAATGCTTAGTTTGAACCCCATGGTGGTTCAGATAAGCTGCCAGACTGTGTGCACAAAGCTGCCAAGAGCAGTTTCTTGCCTCTGCTGTTAAGCCTTCCTAAATCCATCTCCATTTCCAGATGGATCCTACAAACTGCCTCAAACTCAGCAAAAGGGCCCAAGAGTAGCAAACAGCAGACATTTGCAAGTAACTAAGACAACTCCAAAATGAGATTTTGGAAAGCCTTCCCAGTTTGCAGAGCAGTGCCTTCTGCCTCTTGCCCAGTCTCTGTGAACAAGTCAGTGCAGGAGAGGCTGCACATGAAGGCAACAGGGCCAGGGTGTGAAATGTGAACACAACTTTCCAAGCAGCCCAGCCACAGGCATTCCTGTACACAACTGTCTGTGAGCTGAGCATGTGAAGTCCTGCTTGCACAGAGACACTCCTGTAAACTTTCTGGCACATGCATTTTCAGAAGACCTTTGGAAATCAGCTGCCATGTGTTCATCCTAAGAAGCTGTCACAACACTTTTCTGGAATACAGCTCTGATTGTTAAACCATTGCTGGATACTGAGGCCAGTTTTGCACAGATATTGGTCTGGTCCTATACCTTGCTAGGAAATACGTGGTGAGCTGTGGATTCCTTCCTCAGTGTTAGGGAGAAATATGGTATTAGAGGCATCTGGTGTATTGTGACCTCATGGAATTTCCTCTACCTTGTTCCCTTTTAGAAACACATTGTCACTCCCTACATCTCCCTTATTTTGCTGTTTACTATTTAAGATGGTCACTGTTATGGCCAGAAGACTGAGAGGAACACACCCGTCACATGAAGCAACAATGAAGCTAATTGCATGTACAGTGCAACGGTTTTTTTCATCTTCATACGTATCCTCTACAGAATAAACTTCACCAAGTGTGAATCATAGATGGAGATGGCTTTTCTCTGTGCATCCTGGATGTTTATGTACTGTATATCTGCATACAGATCGTTTGTCTATTCATGTGGAGTGATCAAGCATCACAGAAAGGAAGAATTATTAGGTAGCTGATCTAGTCCTGAGAGAGCAGGAAGTTACAACTCAGAAAAAAAACCCCAAAAAACCCAAAAACTATAGTCTGTACTTACAGTAAATGACAGGAATGAAGAAAACAAAGTTCCTTCATCATATCTAGACAGTTTGGCCAAGACTCCTTCCAAAATGGTGACAAACTACAAAGACAAAGAATACTGCAGTTATTTTTAATAGGTGGACAAGCGTGTAAAAATCTGCATCACTTTCAAAGGAGCCAGTGGACCTCTCAGCATTGCCAAAGGAATGGACCACCTACCCACCCCTGAGCACAGTGGGTGGGGAGTGGGGAGAAAGAAGTTCTTCCTTTTAGGTGCTGTGGTGCAACTCTTGCTGACTGGGAATCACCCCTCAGCATCCTGGGTGGTGCAGGGGACAGGAGGTGGGTGCAGTGTGTGGGGAATCCAGCAGAGCCTCTCTGGGTGGGGAAGGCTGGGGCTCCTGCTCCCCGTATGCAGTGGCAAGCACGCAGCTAGCTGGGTATTCTTGCAGAAGAATTGAACTGGCATATGTTGGCGGATTATGTTTAAAGGTCTCCACTGTATAATAGGGATGACTTGTTCTCAGAAAGTTTGAAACTAGAAGAAAACACACCCCACCATCTTTCTCCTTACATACCAATTCCCCTCCGTGTTAGCACGGCACACCAGACCTACACAACCACCCAAGGGGAATGCTGGCAGCTGAGCTACAGAAGCTGACTCTGATGAAAAACAATTTCCAAACAATTAAACCTGACATTTTGGAATGTATTTCCCACTACTGTCATCTCTAAATTAATTTCTTAGAAGAGCATATGGTGATTTTGCACAAGATGAGCTATTTTGTCCACACAACCTCATGCGTAGGAGTGGTGACCACCTCTGCATGCCACCCCAATGGTTCTGCAGCAGCATTTAGCAGTGCCACCCCCTGACTACAGCTACCCCAGTGCTGTGAGGTGATGCTGACCATGGGGTGCTACCCCATGAACGTAACACCCATTCCTTAAAGCCACCTCTGGGCCCAGTATGGTAATCCTGCTAGCAGAGTATCACGTTTCACGCAGTTCCTTATCAACAAAGAGTCACCATGAAAGGACTGGGAGATGTATGATCTTGCCTGTGAGAAACAAGAAGCCAATTCAACATCCTAATGTGTCACATTTTAATGGAAACGCACATATTAAAAATGCAATGTTAACAGTGAATCACTTCACCTGAAGCCGAGGGTTACCTTTGCCACTAGGAGTGTTATCATTTCTTTGACGGTTTCCTCAATTAGTTCATCTATTTTTGAATGGTACTGGTGCTAAAGAAAAATAAAAGGAGAGGGGGAGGAAAATATTAGCATTGATCACAGCCAACAGCTCTACACTTGTCAGTCTCTTCCCTTGGTAAGCCACAATACATAGTATTAAACCAAATAATTATGCAGCTTATTACCCTGGGTCCCACTGCAGTGACCAGCGACTACTTACACTTGTAGGAGAGACCTTGAATTCAGGAGAATCCCGCATCAGTCTTGAAGCATGGGCAAACCCTGCCCTGTTCCGTGTGCCCGCAGCTCTGGGAGCCTTGTGTGGATGTTGGAGGGGAGGCTCTACCATCCCTGTGAGAACCAGCACCCAGTGCTCCTAGAGATTCTGACATCCCTTTGCTCCACTTCTGTGGGCATTATCCTGTCCTGGCACATGGATTGCAGCAGACAGTGGGACACACTTGTTGCTGGAGGGGAGCAGGCACTTGCCCTTTCCAAGGGCACTGCAAACCACCCAGCCCTCAGCGTGGGAATGGGGAGGATGTGCTGCTCTGGGGGAGCTGGCAGTGGGCTCAGCCACTGGCAGTGGTGCTGCACCCTTCCCACCTGCTGCAGCAAAGCAGCTGAACCTGTGTTACCCCGGGGTCAGCGGGCACATGGCTCCAGTTAAGCACTCGTTCAAATGCTCTGCTGTTTTGTACTGTGAGATAGATTTAAAAACCACCCAACAAACCACGATGAGCCTTTTGTCCCATGCAAAAACCAGCAGGCAGTGCAGCGCTGAGCCCCGGGCAATGGCAGATCCCGTGGCAGTAGCTCAGCACTGGCTGACCAAGGCCTGTGCCTGCAGCACCAGCATTTGAGTCTTCAACCCAATTTCTGCACATGCCAAACCTTGCTTAGCTTGGGAGCTCTGATGCGATCAGCTGCAATATGGCTAGAATAGGTACTAAAATACAGTCTTCTACTAATTTAGAAAAGACCTGTTTCCAATACAAGATTTAATTAGTGAAAACATACAGTATATTCTTATTTTCAATGGACTGAGAAAATACTGATTATGACTGCTTTCCAACACAAAACATTTGATTTTTCAGTCAAACATTTCAAGCACTGGTGCTAGTCACTATATTCATTACCACTTGGCATTAATATTGTTTTAAAATGTTAACATCAAATCACATTGAAAGAGACAAATCTGCTTTAAATACTAATCAGACTTTGGGAAGGAAGACTGTGAGGGCTTTACAAATGCTAGCTGCTGGTCTCAGTGTCTGATCAGTACTCTGAACTGCTCTACAGTTTGGGGATTTTTTTCTATGGCAGTAACATTAATATAGGAATTTGGGAAAAAGAAAATAAAAGTAGGACACACTTACCCACTCTTTTGCAAACTTTTCAGATGATTGGGGACAGAAATAAAGAGGAAAGTGCAAAAGACAGGAAAAAGAACATATGAAGATAAACAATAAATAAACCAAAATCTTTTAAAAAAAGAGACGTATGAGAACAGCAGCATCATGCACAGAAACAATAAGCAATGGAAAATGAAATGGGGTCAAAACCTCCTTTTGCTGAAATACCAGAGATCGCTACCTGTAGGATTTGGTGGCAGTAAAACAGTGGGAAGGGACCGGATTGTAGCTGACACCTGGCACTCTCTTATGGTTTTATTTGGCTCCGAAGAGGAAGGGAACCGGCTGTCGACAGGCAGGGTTCAGCCTCGGGGCAGCCACACAGCCCACACCGGGGCGGCAGGGCCAGGGCAGGGACATGGCACAGCACATCCCAGCCCAAGGCCTGGCTGGGGGCACTCAGAGCCTCACCTGGACACGAGGACAAACCGGCACCGCCACGCCACAGGCTGCGATCTGCTGGGCCCACGCAGGGGAAAAACATACACGAACAAGCAGGTGATACTTGCATTGGCAGCTCCCATTCCCATGTCCTGCTTTGCAGGTCAAGACATACACAAGTCCCTTATGGGATCATAGTTATGATTAATGCAGAGCTAGGCCTTATCAGCTCCCAGGATTGACCTGGCCTTTCCCAGTACAGCTGGAATGCAGCTGTGGGGTGACAGGAACCTGTAACAGATTGGTACAGGCAGAAGCTGCTGATGTGCTTGGCAGACACAGGCACATCTTGGCAGCCAGGAATTCCTAAGGGAAATGGAGAAGGGGTTGTGCATATATTGGGGTGACTCTCTCATTATGTTTTCCTTCTGCAACTGCATTTTCTGTGTGTGTAAAACTTTGCAAACAAGTATTCAGCTAACTGCTTTCGTCAAGTAAGTCATGAGTTTGAATTCAAACATGACTAGCTATGTGCAAAGCAATTCACTGTGAAATGCACTGACTGATGCATGTTCAATTACAAGCTTGTTTCAAAAGCAAATAAGAGCCCCAATGGAATAAAACCACAGCTCTGAGAGCAGGAGAGGAGCCTGTGCATGCACCAAGGTGGTGTAGCAGTACCCTGAGCGCTCATTCCCATCGCAGCCGCAATCCTCAGGGCAGAGTGAGCCCCGGTGCCCCGGCAGTGACCATGCAGGACAGGGCCTGCCCCAGGCAGCCACAGCCATGTGCACCCTGTGCCACCAGTGCCACAGCCCCAGCTCCCCCTCAGGAAGGGGAGCCTCGGCCAGGACAGGGGCAGAGACGGCGGCGGTTTGGAAAGCGAGCGCCTGGTGCTGCTACAGATGCCTGGCTCGCAAAACCAGCAATTCCAACAGCTCCTTCCACATTCCTCATGAAAACACTCAAGGTTAAAGATCGCAGAGCTGGTTTGCTTTACCAAGCATAGCCCCCACTCTCGATCAAGTTCATCATAGCTTTCTATTAGCTCAATTATTACAATCCATAATCAGTGCACTACAATGATTCAACTTGACTTTATGTGATGAGTATCTTGCCTTGTCATGTAACAGATTGTGTGTATGTTGTATTTCTCTAAGGACCATCTGACCTTAGATATTAAATAGAAACATACTAGACCAACTGAGAAACATTTAATACATACATTTATCCCCTTAGATGTATTAAAAATTCAGAGGAAAAATAAATATTTAAGATGGTAAAGTATGTTTACCAAATGTTTTAACAGCTGCCTTTAGAGACAAGGAAATGGAATGAAATGATGGGTGTTTGTTTCACAGGGTAATGCTTGCAAAACGCATTCAAGTGTCTGTAAAGGGAGTGTGGCTGAAGGTAGTGTGAGAGGGAAGGCCTTTGGGGTGGGAGGGAACCCACAGAGCAAGGTCAAGGAAGGTGTCCAGAGAGTCTCTGCCCACGTACAGATTGAACTGTCAGAAAAATCAGCGGTTCGTTTCTAACAAAAATGTCATCTCTGGTTAGGTCTGGGCCAAAGGCCCTGCCTGAACTCTCTGGTGGGCAGCGTGAGCCCTTTTTGCTGCTACTGAACTGTCTGCACAGGGACATGGGCTGCAGGAGCCGTGTGCTGGCTGTGGCACTGATGAATGGTCCCATCAGCAAGTTTCTGTCCCTCCCTGTCTGTTCATTCCTCCCCTTGCTGACCTGGGCAGCTGCTACACACCAGAGATGGGGGCACAGAGGGACTCAGTGAGGCACAGACACAACTCCTCATATTACTGAGAAGGACACAGGCTGGAAACCCAGGTTCCCATGCCTCTGCTGCGTATCTGTCTCATCATTTTCAGTGGGACTGGAAGAGGTGGGGTGGCATTTTGTCTTCCCCTCCCAGGTTGTAATGGCAGATCTATATAGGAACTTTTACCCCCCTCAGCTTGACCATCTTGGCATACAGGTTTAGACAGCTTCAAGAAGAGGAGATGGAGGTAGCCGAAACAGAGAGTGGCACGAGTGAATGGAGGGGGAGGTAGTAACACTAATTAAAAAGAAAAAAAAAGAAAAAGGGAGTGTGTATAAAATACTGCAGCCCTAAGTGGTAACCTATGCACCAGTAATTTATGTCTGCTTTACAGGTCTATTAGTTTAGCTATCTGTTGAAAACCTCAGGTCCCAGCAACTGCTGCTTGCCACAGGGGTTCAGCTGTCTCCGAGCTGCTGCACCTAACACCTCTGGAAGTGACCCAGGCAGATTTGCAGCTGACCCCAGCTGCAGCCCAGGAGCAACCACACAGCTGCCTGCTCCCCTGTCTCCTGCAGTCTGAGTCAGGCCAAACCTGCAGTGGGACTGATGCTCAGAATTTGGAGGAAACTGTGGCAACCAGAGGGCATCCATCACAAGTCAGCATGGAAAGATGCAGCGAGTGCCTGGTGACACAGGCACAGCGCTGATGTTATCAGTCTTGGGCCATCTGAATACTTAACCTGACAGTTTAATGAATGCAATGAGCCTCCTCTGTCTTGTGATCTCTAAAATCTTCCCGTCCTCAGGGAGTATAAGGTGCCAGTGCCTCAGTGCCAGTATAAGGGTCTGATCCTGGTTTGCAGTGGGGAGAATCACAAACATGGACCTTTGCAGCTGATGGGGCACTGCCAAGGTAGATGCTGCAGCAGCTGCAGGCTGAGGGATTTGGGGAGACAAATGAGTATGAATATGGAACAGAAAATGGTAGAGAAGTTCATGTCCAGGCCTGGACAACAAAAGCCCACTCCAAATCTACTCCAGCAGACCTGGAGGACAAGGGAAGACCTGATGATGGGCAGTATGAAATCTTTTACAAGGTGTGTGTCACAAATAAAATGTCAGAACTGAAATATGTATAAGAAAAATAAAAAGAACAGCTGAATCTGATCCAAACACCACTGACATCAGGGCAGAGAGCCCTGCTACATCCAGTGGCCTTTGGAACAAGTTCTTTCAGAGGAACAAATTGAAGTGAACAACTGAAAAAACACAGGAACAACTAGAAATGATTCACTGCAAAATCTGACCATGGAAAGCTGTAGTGAAAAGGCTTATCTAGGAAATGCTGACAAGCAGCGGACTAGGTGAGCCAAACAGTATTTGTGAATTTATTCTAGACTGGTATATGAATATTTAATTTAGCTTGAAGTCACTGGAGCAAAATGAACATTCTGATGCATTCAATTCATTCCAATTTGCCATGCCTTTTTAATTCATAGATCAATTCACAGAAACTTCAACCTGCAACTATGGCTTCAGAAGAAAATAAAAATCAGCAATTAATTAAAACAAGTTTGTTGTTTGGGAACTTGAATCATTATGAATCTGGAAATCCAGAATGATCAAGTGTGCTGATTATAGCCAGTACTCAAGGAAGGCAAAGCAGCTGGGATTTCAATCTACTTTTGGAAGTTATTTATTTTTGTGGTGTTTTTTTTTTTTTCTTCCTTACATGCATCGCAGCAACAACTTGGCAGTCCTGTTTTCCTTATGTTTGTCTACAGAAAATAGCCATACACAGAAAGTGTGTTGCCGACACCTGGCTCCAAGGTGCAGTTAATGACTCAATTTATATGGTCATCATGCAACAACCAAGCTTGAGAGATACCGTATGCATACCACAGTCCTTGCAAAAAGCCACTCCTAAGTGACAGGGATTCCGAATGTTTCTATTCATTAGATTTGAGAGCAACCCCCTGTACATTCATCTGCACACTCTCTATGGAAGGCTAAATCCACAAACGATACAACGTCTCTGAAACGAGCACAACAGGAGACAGGAAATTTCATGACATTGCCTTTAAAAGCTGTGAAAGGAAGAACCTGCATTTTTACCTCTTGGCCCATTTCCATACTGCAAAGCTTTGTAGACTGAGCTTTGGCATCCACCATGACATTAAACATGGTGCATATTGATTGAGGGACTCGGAAATCTGTTGATCGGCTGGTTTTCTGCAGTTTTACTTCAAATGCAATCCTTGTTCTGTGAAGGAAAGTAGAAAAAGATGTTTCAGTTGCTTTTAAACACACTGAAGCCAATGATAATAATTTGAAACAATACTGAGAGGAGTTTGAGACATCAGAAAGCTGAATGCTGCTGGGAGTGCCACAGTGCAATTGTTACAAATGTGTTTTTTCCTAAAAATGATTTTCCTGTTTAAAAAGAAACCCCCTTTCCAGAACACACACTATTTATAAAGTGTTCAACAGTTTCAGGGAAACTGTGACTCTCTTATGCTTGATAAACAGTGTGATGATGTTATAAACAGCAGTGTCAGTGCACACCTTTAATTTGGTTGCATTACCTGATTGATAACCACAGCCTGCTGCATTAAGGAAGCTCCTACTGCTCCCTGATATCAACTACAAATAACAGAAATTCCTTCACTGCTTGGCTGAAAGGACACTGCCATATCATTGCATTTATAGTGATATGATAGTATTTGTTCACTTGAACTTCTTCATTGCCTTGTAAGTTCACAGAAGCAGTTTCCCTGCACCACACAAATTCACCAGAATCTATCTGCAAAGCGTGCACAGGCACAGTCATGTGGACACACTTGTATCACACACCTCCCTGTTCTCCTGAGGTTTCACTGAGACCAAATCTGACATCCCTGGCAGGAACAAACCATAATACGCCAAAAGCTTTCTTAGCCCAAACCTACAAAATCTGATCCTGTATCATATTTTAAATAGCAAGGCATTTGTGAGTCTAACACGGGAATGCTTTCCAGTGTGGTGGGAACTGCCTTGCCTTTCTTCAGAGCTCCTCTTCATATTCCAGAGGTACTTCACTAATCTAACCTAACACAGAACAATTATTTCACCACACAGAATCTGCCAATAAATTAACATAGGAGCTTCAATTTAGAAATAACAAATAATATCAGCTGCAGCTCAGGAATAATTTCAAACTTGAACGATCCCCCAAGGGTTATGCAAATGAAAACTCACTTATGAATGTGAAGCTCCTGTTTTGGGGATCAGATCTGAGCTGGTATATAGGTCCTTCTGCCTGGATTATTAGTTAACAGGCCTTCCTTGCAAGGGTTGCTTTCCTGACAGCCCCGAAATACAACCCAGTGTGGAAGGCGGGGTGGCTCCTCCATGGATTCAACAGTTCAGAGACAGACGCGAAGAAAAATGTTGTGTCAAACTGAAATTGCTAAAGAAACCTTAGCCAGGCCCTGTTTGCAGGTGATATAAATAGGGAAGGCAGCATATTGGTTTACATCAGCAGTGGCATTTGAACTGATTTAATTACCAGTGCCAGATTTAGCCTGGACTCGGGGACTAGAATCTTGATAATTACTGAAAGGACCCAAGGAGACTGGGATTTTCCATCTCCTCATGGAAAGGAGCATGTTCCTACTTATGCTCACAACCATTATATATAGTTGTACCAATACAAGCTGGGCTAGATTTTTACAGAGGGACAACACATTTGTAGAAAGGTTGAGGCAAATCAGGGAAAAAAACCACCTGGCTTCCATGCACACAAGCCCTTCTTTAGATGTACCTGGAAATTTGCTTATTTTTCCCAGTTATCTCAGATGAGCTAACTTGGTCTGATTTTTAGAGATCACTGCAGCTATAACTGTGCTGTAGGGACAGCAAAGGGGCCTTAGTTCCAAGTGAAAAAAATAAAAAAGATAAAATAAGTTTTTCTGGTGGTGCTGGAGCAGAGCAGAGAGCAGAGCTCCAGCATTGGGTTTTCTCCTGAAGGACAGCCGGATAACTGGAGAACAACTAAAGGTCAGTGCTTGTGCCAGACAAAGGACCATAGATAGGCTTCTGCAATAAATTGCTTTATGTCAAAGACATTAAATGCAATACATCTCATTGCACTTAAAATGTACTGGGGTTTATTTTCCAGAATGGTGAGAGAACAAGCGTTGAGCTGTCTGCCTTCCTGCCTGCATCTCAGGGACTGAACGTGCCTTCCCCTGTGCTGACACTGCACATCCAAGCTAGTGAGGATTGTACTGAAAATAAATGCCACACTCACACTTGCAGAGTGGCCAGGAAATTATGGTACAGAACAGCCACATCACACACTGCAGTTAATATTAGCATGTATTGGCTATATTTGGCATCAATTTTTCCTTTGGTTCATCTCTTTGTCTATGAATTTTTGCACAATGAAATACAAGGTTCATTTTTTCTTCTTGCCTCGTTACCTCTGATTCAAATGGACATAAATTGCAGTGGAAAAGTTGGAAATTTAACTTCAATATTTTGCTTTCAAAATGACAGCTGCCAGCATGTCTAAAAGTTGCTTAAAGATATCTCTGTTTTGGAAGATCTGCAGGTAACTATGCTATAATGTGGCTGATGATACAACAGCTTTTCCCAATCAACGGCAGACGTGAAACCTGTGTGCCAAGCAACACACTATCCCACTTTTAAAATAATTTTTTCTTGTTTTTTCTTTTCACATATCTGTGCTTTTTAGGTGGGTGCTGGGATCTTTCTTATAGCTATGCTTTCAGTAGTCAGCACCATCACACCAACCTGTGAAGATCTGGCCTCACGTGTGGCACTGAAAATAAATAATTACCTACAAAGCCCAAAAGAATGAGTGATTTATTGTGACTAAGCACTCTCGAGTCTCAGCAGAGAAGTGCCTGCTTGGGAGAGTCCACAATTCACAGCAATGGGGTGAATTCCAGTTTTAGGGTGGAATAGGCTTTGCATCCTGTGAGCTCTTGTGAGAAACATGCCTGTCTCGCTCATGGGCACCTACCTTTTCACACAGGACTCGATCATGTCACTTGCCATAAGCTTCAAGCGCTGCTCTAAGTGTTTCCCAAACTCCTCCTCAGGCCAGTGCAAATCCCGAATGAAGGTCTGTAGGGCATCAAGTTTCCAGAACATATCTTCTGAGGTGCCTGATCCATTGCTGGCAGGGCAAAATGAGAACAAAAGTCAGAAGTGGCATCAGGGTCTTTGCAACCTGATGTGGAGACCATTCCTGCAACAAGTGTAAGGCAGACAGCAGTTTCATACACAGGACAACGCTGGCCATCTCCACCATCAGGATTTTGAGTTTTACCATACAGTTGCCTAATCTACCTTGCTGTCATCACCCACAAAACTTTCCAGACCAGATGAGTAAGACAACATCATGAATTACACATATTAACGGGAAGAACGTGTGTATGGTAAAAATCAGCCTTAGTTAATAGCCACATTAATGTATGTGATTATTAAGAATTAAGGCTAGAAATTGTGGGAGAAAATCCTCAATCAATAATAACTGCCATACCAGACTGTATGCAGTTATTAAGATTTAGGGTTTCATGCAATTCTCCCCCCTCCAAATTACATCTTGAGTTTGCCTTGTCCCCCCCAGTGCGGCCCCATTTCCAGGTAAGGGACAGTGCTAACAAGTGGTGAGCGAGGACACACTTTATCTCTTGAACAGCTGAAAAAAAATTGGGGTAAGTCAATTGAGCTAAGGGTACCTCTTATATCCAGGAGTTTCGGCAGGATTTACTGCTGCACCTTTTTCTTTGCAAAGGCAATTACAGGACAACAAATTTACATTTTTAAAAATTTATTTTGCAACAACTTTGGTCTGCCACAGAATTCTCAATTTCTTTCCCAAGCATATATTCTTGTACCCACACCCCTGCCCAGATGGAAGTCTTTAGTCCTGCAGTGTGTAGCTACACCAGCTCTTTTCACAGTATAATTATATCTCAAACCTCCACTTACAGAATAAAAATACAGGACTGGATTGCACTCTGTTTGTGCAGAGAAATTTATGCATCCATAACCCTTTTCTCTCCCTCTCGTCTTCTCCCTCACTTTTTTTTTTCAGAACAATTACCAAGGGAGCTTCAAGAGTTTCAACCCCCTCCTCGCATACCACTAATGCTAACACAGTAATTTATAAGATATTTAACACACCATGCATTACCACTTGTGCTGACATCATCTATAGAAACAGATGAGGGAGGGTGTTTCTATTGTGACAGATGCCAGCTGCATTGAGTTAATGCTAGAGGAGCTTGGAACTAATGCAAACAGGGCTACTCCTGGGTGAGAACTCTAGTCCCAACATGCCAGAGGGGTCCTGCGGGATCCTGGGCTAGCAGAGTCAACAAGATAAAGAATGAATAGTCTTGGTTGTAGGAAAAACGTATCTGACACTAAGCAACAGGTAACATGTCCTTGATGGAGGGGAAGGGGAGTAAAAGGAAACCAGGGAGATGAAAAGATAAAGAATCAGGCATTTGCTTTAGCCAGGGGACCAGTTTGGACAACAGTTTTACATGTTCATCTACTGACAGTTTTCAGTTCAAACCTGTGCTTGGGTGTAAGCAAGCTTTAACAGTCTAAACCCGGCTTTGGAAGTGCATGAATTTACATTTTAAGTGATATAATGTGTACAAATACAATAATTGGTATTTACTACAGCAATATTATGACATCCATTTTGTTTCAAAATTTTTGAAGACTTATTCTCAGTCTTTTTCTGACTTTTGATTAGGGCTCCATCCAAGTAAGCAATATAGTATATTCATTTCCAAAATGCACTCTTCATATTTTGCTTGTGAGCACCACAATTACTCTAATCACGCTGGCAGCTAACAATATACCATTGATGCTCAAGCATTTTCAGAGAGATTATCCAATTTTCTGTCATTACATGATTCTTATCTTTTCAAGGGCAATACCACAAAGCATGCACAGAGCAAGATTAAAACTTTCAAGTACTCTTTACAGACAACTGCCTAAGCTAGCCTTTAAAATAACTATCTTAGCATGAATATGAGTTGTATGGCTTTGAAACGTAAAAAACCATGCTAATACTTTAAAAGGTTTTAAAATCTATTTAAAAAGATCTCACATCAGTGTTTTCTTTACTTTCATTCATTACCAGTGCTCTGCAATCCTGCCTCTGCCAGACTAATGGCAGAGGCCTTCTGGTGGACTCCAGGTGTAGATGTAATTGAGGGTGTTTCAGTAAAAGTGAACAGGGGATTCTTGGGTGAGTTATTCAGTATTGTCTATTAAGTGAGAGGACAGAGGAAAAGCACCACAGTGCTGACCGAGACCACCCTATGCCAACCCTAAATAACTCTCTAGGATTTTAGGAGAATGGACAAATGCAGTTCCCATGATAGGACATCCTGGGAGATGAGTTACCTCAAATGATGAGATTGGAGCCCACTGTGTACCACCCTTCACACTGCTCAGTGGGAAATCTCCTATAAGAGAACTTGCTGAGGATTTGTGGTGTGTTCCCCCAGAGCTTTACACCTGTACCCTGGGACACAGACAGGAAGCTGGGAGCACAGAGCACAAGGCTCCTACAGAGAGACTGCTTTGACACTATTTTCCAAGCCATAATCTAAAACTCACATTGAAAATATCTTTCTTTAGTTGGTCATGGCATTATTTGGGCAGTAATGAAGGCTATGGAGCTTTAATTGCTCTCTGGGGCATACCCCAATATGAATAAAACTGTTACAGGGTGCTCCTCTTTCTTGGACTGCTTCATCCAATTCAAGACAAAAATTACCTGGGAAATGCAGAGCTTGCATTAAATAACATTTATTTTTAGATCTACATCTGGTCCACAGAAATTGGTTGACTGGCATTGAAATTGGTTCATCTTCTCTTTTGGACAAAACTCTTTGCTGAGACACATAATGTCACATTGTAAGTTCTGTGGTTGGTATGTTATTCAGACCATGCCCCATTGTTGACAGCTATTTTATAAAGCAAGATACTAGCTCAAACTCTCAGTGGGAGTTGAGACAAATTTTCAAGGTTTATACAAAAAAACCCTCAAAATACACATGCCAGAAATTCACTAGTGTCTCATTCAGAAAACATCTAATTAACTGTATCACTCTTTAAAGTTTTATGTAATGCACAGAAACAAACAATACATATCCATGCCAAGATTACTTTAAATTTAAATGAGATCTAATTTGAACTGAATACACACTCAGAATCATAAATAGCAGCCATCCATGACGGTGCAGAAAAGCTAGGCATTTGTGGGATGCCTAGTGGGATGTTAACTGGTAGATTTGGTACTTTAGGGAGATTCACATTTGGTAGATTCACATTGGGCAGATTACTTGTTAAACTCCTGTGGAAGAAACAGACAGAAAGAAAAAATACCATAACAGTGACAATGCCGATGTAGCAGAAGCACATGACACTCAGAAACAAATCTGCAAAGTTCACAGCATGAGGACAGTTAAAAAACTAAAGCAAAACATTTCAGAAAGAAGCATGGGTATGGAAGCTTAAATGTACTGTGTTTGCAGTCTGCTATAAAATTCAAATTCCTTTCAAAGAAAAACAAAGCAAAAAAAAAAAGCAAACCAGAATGAAAAGAAGAATCACAAAGTGCAAATTAACAGAAAACTTAAACACCTGTGAAAATAACTGCACCTTCAAGTCCTGATACCATTTCAAAGTGCAGAGAGCAGCTTTTCTTCCAAAAAATCTCTTTTAAGGCAGAGTCTCAGTTCTTACATACACAGGCTTGATTAAAGCGCTATATTAAGAGATCTGCTAAGGGACTGGAATATATAATAATTACTACTACTGATAATTAATAATATATATAATAATATAAAAATATATAATAATATATAATAATTTGAAATAATAGAGTCTGGAATTCCAGCCATAAGAGGTTTTTCTTGCCACCAAGCTCAATGGAGTTGCAATTTTGCTTCAAAACCTCTCTGTCTTAGACACTCCACAAATAAAGATGGGCTAATCTGGAGTGATGAAACAGTGAACTACAATGTTCTTCTTCTGTGAAGACTGCCTTGATCCTCCCTTGCATTTCTGTGTGCAAAAAAAAGGATTGTCCAGCCCCACTATCTGTGCACTATGAATGAACTGCACTTTGTAAATAAATCCAGGACTAGTATGTGACCGTTTCATGGCTGGAAGTGGGCCACAAGGTGATCAAGATTTTCAAAGGTTAATATGAAGCATGTCTGCTTGGGCATCATGACTTCAATCAGTATTTTCAGATGTTCAACTGTTATGCAAATAGGGATCTTTAAAAAGTGGACAGCTGTATTGATTTAATGCAACATTCACTCCTGGAACAAGGTGTGTGTAACAGCACTGCATGCCCCAAGTTTTGAATCCACCCCGACATATTTCATTGTACCATGTCTCTAGATGTTGTAATTGGTCTAATTCTGCTTTAGTGAGTATCTCACCACAGTTATATTCGACATGCAAAATAAAAACATCAGGATATCTGGGAATCAGCAAGACACAGAACTTAATTACCCAAGTCACATATTACCTGGCTCTCAGAAGAGAGGCCAGCTCCAGAAAAATGCCTCATTTCTGCCCTCTCCCAGGAACACTGACCCACTGGTACTGAACACACAGGTGGTTTTACAGTCCCATGTGAGGAACAAAGCCAGATGCTTTGACACCATTTTCCCCAGATTGTTACTTGGACTCAGTGAAAATGGAATCAGAAATTCAGGATTTCAGCTTCACCCTGCACTGCTGAAGCTACTGAAAGCTTTTCTATTGATGCACACAGGCACTGCTTCAGCATCCAAACTTGCCTGCTCTCAGTGACTGCATCAGGATATGCCACCTTTGGAGGTTTCTCCCATTTCCCTGGATTAAATGAGTTACTTTACTGACACCATTATCTGGATTCCTGTGAAACTATCCAATTATACACTATGTCTTTCAAGGCACATTAAAATCTTAGTAATTTCCCTGAGACATATTTGGCACTTCATTTCTTATTGCAAGTTTTATATATCAACTCCCAAAGTAATGGAATTGAGCTGCCTGAATAAATGTTTCCTAACGCAACAGACGATGTGAACCACATCTCTGCAAGAGCTCAGCTTGTCATTGGTGGTGAATGTTAGGGAACAGACTTCATTCTTTGTGAATAAAATCCCTTGCTGGGGAGGAAAATCACAAATCAAAGTTTTTTCTAGCGAAAAAAAACTCCATGACTGTGTTCTGATTTCTAATTATTACTATGATTCTTAGTAGATTCAACTTCCTGCTATCTGTGTGTTCCCTTTTTCAGGCAAACAGGAGAATTCACTATGTCACAAAGCTGCCCATTGTTTCCATTCATACTGTATCTGCTGCTAAGATGATATGACTATTGAATGAGACATATACTACATAGTGATTGAGAGAGTGTTAAATCTTCAGAAATGGCAGTGCATGTGGTTAGATACTGATATGGAATAAATAAAGAAATAGCAAGAGGTGGACAACATATAAATGTATAAGGAAAAGCAACTTAAATAACTTAGCCAGATGGTAAATACATAAATCAGAGGACCTTTGGTTTTAATATTAAAATTCAAGAAGTGACAGTGTTATATTAATAAAAACACTGTATTAATAAAATATGACTTCTAGAGTAAACAGTATACTATATTCACACGGAAACATATTTCTTTTATACAACACACTATTTTGCTGATGCAAGAATATGTTGCAAGAATAAGTTAGTACTCTTAAAACAAAACAAAACAGCAAAATAATGGAGTATATTATGCTAACATACAGTAACTAATATAAAAAAGAATATTCTTCTGAATTGACATGCACAGTTTTTCAGGTTCAACTGATCTAATTATCTGACTAACAGTTGCAGTGAGACCTCTAAAAAATGATTAATATTACCAACAAATGTTCCATGAAGCCTGCAATTGTTCAGACCATAAAACTACAGGTCCAAGATGAGAAACTGTTTCTAGAAGCCAGCCATGCCTATTTAATATAGATGGCTAAATATAACCTCAGCCATCAGGCAGGGAATGTGGGCATTTGCATCAACAAGATGAAGGCTGTCTGATTTAAGACGACTCAGCTTCAGGACTGGATCCTGATACATTTGATGAGAGGCACACACTCTGGAGCTGCACCACTTGTTTTCCTGGTATCTTCTGCTTCAGCCCTGTTTGTGTGTGTGAGCTGTGGAAATGGCTTTCACCTGGACTGTCTGCTGGGAAATTCTCAGTGCAAACAGACTGGCAATGTACCCCTGCACAACCTCCCAGCGCTCACGCTGTACCGCAGCACCGCTCACACGGAACACGTCCAGTTGCAGCTCCTGCAGAGCTGCCCTAGCAATGAAAGGAGGGCAGAAAAATCACAGTATTTTTACTGAGCTGTCTCCTGGGTTCAGAATAGTGCTGAACGAGACCCTCGGCCACACCTAAAATGCTCAGTTCCTACAGGATGCCTGAAATGATTCAGTGATGGAAGACGCAAATGCCTGTCTCTTCCATCACTATAAACACTTGCAACCTCACTGTCGAGGCTGAGCAAATGCTCAAGAGCAAATCTTTTCACAAAAGCCTTGATGTGAAGCAAAGAGCTTGATAGTGAAGTAGGCAGTCAAATCTGTGCTCTTCCTGTGACTGACACCCAGAATAGTAACAAAAATACTCACTTTCACTACAGCGGTGCTTCTTTTCAGGGGAAACATTTTTCACTATCATTCTGTAGTTGTACAACCTTATAAAATTATTAGTATAATCATATTGTTCAAGTTCTGACATTTATATTAATGATACATTTACAAATAGTTTGCAAAGGGTTAGTGAGCAATTAATAGATGCTAAAGCCAGGACTACAGAGCGGTAGAGAGAGCGCTGGGTCAATGAGTAATGTCCTAGTCAAGCCACTGAAACTGGTTGTCATTGCATGAGCTTTAGCATTTGCTCAAAAAGATCTTTCAACACAGACACACACACAGAGACACACACACATACGTGTCAGCTGGCTGCGAGATAAATCAGCACTCTCCGAGAAGCTAGCATGAAAAAAACCCATTGCAAACCCTACTTTTCAAGACCTCTCAACTCACCAGAGAACAGACCTACTCTGTATCCTGCATACTTGGATGACTGTGCGAAGGACAAGTGTTCCACATTTCTCTGCGTGGATTCATACAAGCGCACCAGCTGCTCTAGCTATAGGGCACGGACCCCCTGCAAATTCAGCAGCTCTGCAGAGGCAGATTACAGAGCCCTCATGAGCACATAACATCCATGCTTTTCCCCCCTAATTTTTTTCAATACTTAACAGTATCTCTCTCTCACTATGATTTCTATACCTAACTCCTCAGAGCATAAGGTGCAGAGTATTCAGCAATGAAAATAGAAGAAATACATGCTTGCAAACTGCCATCTGGTCAGGTTATGGAGGGCTACATATTTCAGCCTTGACTGCAAACACAAGTACAGAGAAACCCTTTCAAAAGATTCTGCGTTGTGGAATAATTTCTTGGTTAAGAAGAGATAATGAGATTTCCTTCTCATAATGCACTGTAGAGATCCAGGAAAACAACAAGCTTGGTGGAATGGTCAGCTTTGATGATCTGTCTTTGCTGGCCAACTTGAAGGTCTATCTCCAAAGCAGAGGAAAGCTGTAGAAGAACGTTCTGCAGTGCTCCTGATTTCCAAAAAAAGCTCTGCTGGAGAGGTGTCAATAGAAGGTCAAAATTTGGTTGGGAACTGGCTGCTCCAAACTATTTGAGAATCCATGGCCAAAAATGCAACTGTTCTACAGTATGGACATGTGGGGTGAGAAGAGAGTAGATTCAGGAGGGCAAATCAAACAAAATAAGTCTCTAACCTGAATTTTTCTGCAAGTTCCCTGTCGATCAGACAAAGAGGAGCAGGTGGTCTGCCCAGGAGGCAAAGATGAAGATGCCTTAACATTTAGTTCTGAACAGCACATGAAAAATGTCTTAAGATCCTAGGAATGACACTCCTTTCCTTTGCACTGTATGTGGCACCCTCTGGCACTCACTGGTGCCTCCCTTCACCGGGCCACATCACGTTGAGCCAGCATTTGCAACTCACACTTTTGTGTGCGAGACATAAGAACAAAATATCAACACGTGAAAAAAAAACATGGTGCATCTTTTCACCAGATGGACAGAAGCTTCTCATGGAAAGCACCCACTTTCCTGCTGGAAGAAATCTTTTAAATACCCAAGTCTGTAAGAGAAAGAGTCCATCCTGGGCTTTTGCTTGGAGATGCAATGCTCAAAGCACGCTGTAACTGGAACTCCAGAAGGGAATAACCATCACAAGAGAACTAAGAAAAGATCTTTTATAACTATCAGAGATAACTTGGAAATGATAGATGCTGGCATCCCCAGGGACAAAGCATTTTGACAGGCAAGTAGCACATCCAAGTACTTATGGACATCTATAGTTAACTCCCTGAAGTCATTAAAAAGCAAAAAGATGTCAGCTTCCGATAAAAGAAAAAAAGGCAGAATGATTTGTTTATTGAGTGCTTGACCCAGGTGAACAGGTACACAGAGTTAACTGCTTCTGTTTCATAACAGACAAGGAAATACATATTTTTTACTAAAGCAGAGCTCTGAAACTGAAGTTAATGCTAACTTCGAAGTGCAATTCTGCTTGAAGGAGTGGCTGTAAAAATGGCATTCTCCTACTCGAAAGATCTATTTCTTGTATGTTTTCTGGGTCACATCTGCTTATTTGAAACAAGATTTTTTAGAATCTTTAATCCTGTTAGCCTGCAGACCAAAGACAGCAAATGGAAAGTGAGAGAGGCTCCTGAATGCCAGCCACTTAACCCCACTCAAAACAGAGGGGATGATCAGGTGTCAAGAAAAAGCCCGAGATTTGGCAGGCAGAATCCTTACGGATGCTGAGGATGCACAAGAAAGAAAGGAAAAAACCTGGGTACTCAGACTCCAGGTTGCATATGGGAGGCTGGCTGCTGAACAAAATCTCTTTTCCTTATAAACGGAACATATTTGGTGTGAAAAGCCCTGAAAGACCACACGTTCTTTTATACAGCAACCTCTGAGAGCGCGGTGCCGTTTCACTTCGCCTAGAGAATGACAAAAAAAGCGAGGAAAAGACTCTCTCCAGAGGTCACCTGGTCCCAGTTCCTGGTCTGAGGCACTGCCAGGCTCATCTTCCTTGCAAAGGGTCCATCTTTCTCTTTTAATATCTTTATTAGAAGGAAAAGTCAGCTACATCCTTTTGTAGGATCTGACTTGGCTTTATAGAGCAAGCATGACAGGGTTCAGCAATGCTTCAAAACCTGTGAAATAACAACAGTAATCCAAAGCACATGTCACATTTTTATCATTCACCAGCTCTTGAGTTCAATTTGGGTTTTTCTCAGGCTCCCAGTTTCTTGCTGGTAAACTCCTAGCTTTCCAAATGTAAGAAATGATTATGCTTGAATCATCTTGCCCGTGTTTCACTTTGGTTTCTGCACTTCTAATCCTACAGGCAGGGGAGCTGGGACTGACAGAGCTGCCCTGGACATGGGGACATGTGCAGCCACCAGCCATGGGGCTGATGCCAGAGGCACACACTGCACTATCCCCCCCACAGGGTGGGTGGAAAAAATGAGTATTGAGAATAAATACAGCAATGACTCACAGGGGTTATAGGGCTGGAACTGAACACAGTGAAGCGAGTTTTTTTTGTTCTGAAAAGGAGCTGTGCGAGCTCAAAAGCAGCATTGGAAAAGGCCTTTTAGAATGGGTTCCAAAAAGCCATGGCAGTTAAGAAGGTTTTCCCACTTTCATGCTTCCCTGTTCAAAGGCACACGGTTCAAACTGAGGCAGCAATGCATTTCAAAAAGCCAATACCACTTCCCTCATTAACCTGAAAACCCTGAAGAGATCAGGCCTCCTAGATTATAGCATTGAACTAGAATGTTGAAAGCATTTTCTACATGTCCAGTCTAACGTTCGCTAATTCACCTCTATATGAATCTCCATCCATTTGCACCCAAATTCCGATTGTATCAAAGGAGGTTTCCTTACTTTACTGGCTCCCATGACTCCCGCTCAAAGCCCCTGTGAATTGACTGTGCAATTGAGGACTCCATCAGATCGACATATCTAACAACAAGTGGAGCAAACAGGTCTTGGAGGTGTTTGTGGAATTTTCCATTGCACAAATTATCTAGAATAGATAAATAAAAGTATAGTAAGACACTACTGTTACTACAACCTCTGTAACAAACCACAGCGTCAAACACAGAATTTGTCAGTGAACAGGAAAACTTCAAGAACATAACAGGAGCCGGAGTTCATGACACAGACAGCAGGAATAACTTCTTACTCCAAACAAATAAACAGACAATGAACCTTCTTTTCCATTAATGTCAAACTGACAAATACATTATCACTTCCTGTGAATAAAACCAGTGTAAGAAACACAGCATGGCAAACATTATGGCTTTAGCAGGTGGGAGAATAATTTCTTCTTTGGTTGCACAGTACCATGATGCTGGAACTTGCCTTCTGAGGATGAGTCCCTGGCTTTTTTCACGTAGTCTTAGAAAGCTAGCTGGGGTCCTGGTCTAGGACCTAGCTAAGGCAATGCCAGTTTTACCACCAGCTCCCCAGGGAGGGCTGGACTACCCAGGAAAGTGCCAAATCCTCACATGGGTTTTGAAAGCATGGGCCCAAGTGCTTCGGAGAATTGCCTTACTTCACAAAGCACTTTTCTTCTGAACTACTCCTGCTTCCATTTACTTTAATATTTTCCTCCCTTCAACAAAATCTTAAAGCAGGGATTGCTTTACTCCATGCTAAATAAATGAGGTACACACATATAAAACAATACACACATATAATGACAGTAAGATACAGAGTACCTAATTCCCTCCTTATCAGGCAGCCATTACCAAGAGACTTGAGAAGATGAAGCAAAATAAAAGTTCAGCTTCCCACCTTTAAATCTGCAGCGACTTAAGGGGTGCTCTTTTTTTCTAGGCAACGGACTAAAATCAAGCTGATGCTAAAAAGAGTTTGTAAATCTGTAAATCTCTACCCATCTCAGTTTTCTGTGCAGTAAGGAGAGGCTGAAAGCATTATCAGTAACCTGAGCCGCCCACTGAAAAGGAAATGATCAGAATACAAAATACATACAGTCGCTACGGAGGGAATCGTTTATGAGCTGGAAGAGCGGGAAGCTGTCCCAGGTGTCTGGGGGTTGCACCTCTAACGCTGCATCCATATCCACTGCAAACAGGGACAGGAAGGTCTCCGCATGCTCAACCATTAGGTCTGACCACCAAGCAAAGGCCTTCAGAGTTGGTAGAAAAAGATAATAAAGACGTGTATTAGTTCTAATAAAGCACAGGGAAAGATGTTAGGCCACATAGCTTTAAAAAAAAAAAAAATAAAAAATTGCATCTCATGGAAACTACCTTTATTGTAAAGAGAACAGTGCTTTGGAGCGCTAGCCTGCTAGAATTGGGAGCTGCTGTTCTAACAGAAAGGTTTCTTGTAGAGGATCTCTTCAGAGCTCCACTGTAAAGGCATGCAGGTGTAATGTGGCAGAGAAGGTTTCATCTGTTCAATTTACAATAAATGACTTAATTCATCATTAATGATGCTAATTATCAGGAAAAAACCTACTAATTCTTATTTCTAAAGTACAGAAATTTGGGAGTTTCTTCACTGTGCCTGTAAGTTTTCTGAAGTGTTTTTCAACAGCTTAAATTCTACTTGGATTCACTACTTGCATTTGTCTTGAAAATATAGAAACCTGAGACATTAAAAGCTGTCCTAAATCACTCACACTCTGTTTTAAAGATACTTCAAGCATCACCAGTAAAAGTTATTACAGCACTGTTCATTTTACATGGTTAGCTAACACACTACCACCTTCATGATGCTACTGATTAGGTACCCTTTACAAAGCTCTACTATCAACATGCCAAGGTGAAAAAAAAAATATCTATGGCAAGCCTATATTTTCACAGAGGCAGGAAAAACATATGTTTAAACTTGAAAACCAAAAAATATCAGTGAGGTAACTCATTCTCATGCACATGGGGTCCTCAAAATTCGCTGTGCGGGCTCTCTGAGGTGACATTCACATCATACATGGCTCAGATGTGAATGCTGAAAATGCATGCATGCGTGTTCGGTAGTCACTTCTGGCTGGGAACATGCAATATGAGAAGAGCTGTCCACAGGACCATGTGCTGTCACTTTGAAGTGACAGGAAATTACTTGGTGACTTAAAGGAGCTAAGGAATAGCTTCATGGCACTTGGCAAGAAAAAGAAACCTCTAGCTTAGGCACAAGAGTGGAGATGAAACGGAAGAGATTGGGAATGGAGAAATCCGTTTGAAGAGGAATTGCCAGTCAGGGAGGAGCATTTTTTGCAGGTTTTAGCAGACATGAATAAGCAGAATGGGCTTGCACTCTCTCAGGGTTGAGCTTTGATTCACTGATGAAGAAATGCACTGATGTGCACAGCACAACTCCAGCTACTGGTTCACTTGGTCACAGAGAGGGAACAGCACCCCCAAAACAAGTTACTGCCATAATTTTTCCTGTTTTGGCTCAACTTTTCAGCTGCCAGTGATACTGGCAAGGGGTCTTTGGAACTATTTCCACTCTTTCAATCCTTTAAAACATAAAGCAGACTGACACTGCCCTGCTATTATTCCATGAGTTGATATAGAATTGATGTGAAATCATGGACAGATTGGGCATTGCGATTGGACATTGCACTTGGCATTCTCTTCCCAGAGCACATCCAAGATGTAAAATAACAAAAATAACCACACAATCCCCAAACTAATCTTAGTATTGGGTCTGCCCTGTAATGGGGGTGAAGATGTGGACGAGGTGAGCTGTGCCATGGAGGCACAGCTTCAGTGTCTGCCCACACCTGAAGCAGCAACACCAGCAGGTGAGTGTCCCAGTGGTCAGGGCATGGGGACAAGGTGGCTATGGCAGAGTCCTTTGTCTGCAAACTCTCCTCAGCTTCAGGCCCATGGAAGAAGCTACCCAGCTCTGCTGCTGCATCTCCTGCTTGGGGATGCTCGAGGGCACAGAGGTAGTGGTGACAGTGGCCCTGGGTGTCTGCAGAGCCATCACTCTGGAAAAGCCTTAACCAAGGTGAGGGAGCCTGTGTGGGGCTGAGCGTGGGGCAGTGCTCTTCAGCTCTTCTGCTCTTCTCCACATTTGGTGCGGGTGTCCAGCCTTGCACAGGGCTGAATGCCAGTGAGTGCCATGCTGGGAGGCAGCAAACAGCTGAGAGACCACAGGGGAACCAAACCCATCGAGACACAGGTGTGCTCCTGATGCCTGCTCCAACCTGCTCACAAAGGTGGGCGGGAAAGGAGCGCTGCGGAGCACTGGGGCTGTGCAGGGTCCTCTCACGTTAGCCACGCCTGGCTGTGGTTTCCAGGGAGGCTGCAGGGGCTGTCCTTGCTCTGATGTGATTTCTCTGGCTGTGCCTCTGCCTGCCCAGAGCCTGCTGTGCTGGCACCCACCCCACACTGCCCACAGGCATGGAGCGACTGCCACGAAGGACCGATGGCAACCGATATTTGGGGGGAAGGGAAAAGAGGGGAGGCCAAAGAATGTCTTCTGTAACAAATCCCAACATAAAGACTTCAGAGTCCTGCAGTAAGAACCTGCTTCCATGAAAAGGGGAAAAAAAAGAGCTATTTTAAAAAAAGAAAAGCATGTGATCATTGGTGGAAAAAAAAATTGCCCAAACCGGTAACAGTTTCTTTTTTGCTTGAAAAGTCAAATTTTAACTCGGTAATTCTCTAACTTATGAGAGTATCCTCAGCCTTCTCCCTAATTTCTGTAAGAAGGATTGGTAACACCATACTTAGAAAACCTCCTTCAAGATGGTAACATTCCATTTATTTACCATCTACTTACCTGCTTTGCTTAAATAATAATGTAAAGGGGGGGAAAAGTGTGCTTTCTAGCCAAACACACCTATTATTGTATATTTTACACATGGATACACATGTATATATGTATGACCTCAAGGAGTTAAGATACATATATACATATACACATATGTATACATAGAGAGAGAAAACACAAGTTTAAAAACAGGTGAATGGCATTGTCTCTGGCATCTGTCATCAGTCATCCAGAGGAAGGGAAAGGGAGCTAGGAGACATCTGATGGGAGAGATGATACAATGACAGAGACCTCCTGCTCCCAGATTACAGACATAGGCACATGGATTCTGCTGTTTCTGCCTGTGCTGGGCTGCTTCCTTCTTATGGGTAAGACAAACCCAACCGACTAGACACGATACTCCTCTTGTAATGATTTTTGAACAAGCTCTGAGTGTTATTTTCTACATTCTCATTAGGGAGTCTGCCTGGATGTCCACATGGGTAAAAAAGGGGGCATGTGTTAATTGCAAAAACTATTGTTTTTCAGTAAAGTAAGGCATTTCTTCAGTAAGCAGTGCAATTAAATTTTCTGCTGAATAACTGAAGTAGACCAAAGAGTAACACCTCACAGGTCAAGCCTTCTTCAGGTGAGTGACAACATAGAAAAAAAAGTCACCTGGAATTAAATGGGGGGGAAAAAAGGTGTAATACTTCAGCAATGCTCACTGCACTGTGACAGCATAATGTGGCTACAGCACATAATAAAAATCAGTGATAAACCACCCAGCCTCTTCTCTCTCTTCCCTGGGTGCAATTCAAAGTGTGTAGAGAGCTGGCCAACTGCCTGTGCACTGCTGAAATGCCACAGCCACCCTTAGGACAGGGATTCAAAAATGTACCGACAGTGTGCTGGGCTTCTGGAGAGAGATGGATTTCATCCTTCCAAGTCACCGTTCAGAACAAGGGACCGGGATGCCTCCTATCTGTGTTGGCATTAACCTTCTGTCTCTAATCAAAACCTTGTGACACAAAAGATGCTGGAGAACAGTTCTGAGCCTTCCTCCTCATGTGAGGATCTTGGCAGCGTGGCTGGCTGAGTGTGACTGGTCCTGCAACTGCTTCCTCTTTTCAAAATAAGCCGTGTTTTAAAAAACAGCTCCTTCCCAGCTGGTTGTACATCCAGCCTGTGCTGGTGAGGAGTGGAATAAAACAGTTTTTGTACAAGCATAGCGCTCTCAAGCACCCCTTGCTTTAGCAAAAAGGAGGTTTATTTCACTCTTCACCCCATATATTCTCTCTCTACATATAAATACTGTATATCCAGTACAAGGCACATACAGACAAAACCAGAGGAAGACCACTACCATTCTAGGCACTCGTGTAGTACTTAGCCCATCTCCACCACAGTGTACTAGAGGTTGGGTGAATGCAAACGACAGGTAACAACAGGCTGAGGAGCGAGTCCAGGCAGGTAGGGTTGTGTTGGGATGTAACTGCAGCGCTCGTAAAATATACCCATTGCTGCATGCATGGACTGGACTGCTATGCCACATTTACCCTCCTGTGTCAGGCTACCAGCTCCGCAAGCAGCCGACCCAAAGTTGCTGTTACATTCCTCGGTCAAAGTTACGGAAGCGAGGGCAACCAGGGTAAAATCCCAGTAGGAAACATGGCACTGAGAGGGCATGCACGGAATATGACAGGAGTGACTCGTTTCATTCGGTTTAGTCACATACCTCTTTCCCCTGCCAGGATCATCCAAGATTGAATGAACAGTAGAAAAACAGGGAGGAAATTTAAATATGTAATCAGGCATTAGTTGGGTTTTGTGGATTGCTGTGTACTATCAATAAGTAAAACTATACTGCATATTTAATACACACTGGAATGATTTTCAGGTGATTGTGAAATTATTTATCAAATGCTCTTAATGCAAAATATTGTGAGTATATCTATATCTATATCTATATATCTATCAGTGGGAAGAAAGAGAAAATAGTGAAAGAGTGCAACAATACCTACTGTCATAAACAATAACTGTTCACTCTGAATTTTAAAATTATTCACTTCTCAATACGCATTCAAGAGCACCAGATTTACAGAGAACTCAGGGCTGAATCCTGCAAATACTTACATGGGTATGCAACATCACCTGCTTAGGCAGAAATGTCCTGATGTGCTGAGAGCAGGACTACAGCCAGCCATGCCAGCTGCCTGTGGGATCAAGTGTTTCCAGGATCAAGCCTCACGATTTTCTGGTGTATATTTGACTATGACATGGTCTCAGTGGTTTTAAAACATGAATCTTTCTGTCAAGGTGCTTCAAAGAGTTAAAAGTGGTTGTATTAGGCCTTAGATAACCCAGACAATGAGTAAAAGAGCACAGTTCATCCTAACCTCTGTGACTAGCAATTGAGGTATTCCCAATAAGTCAAGGCAGAAGAGGCCAAAAGGAAACCAAGTGAGTTCATCATGTACTGGAGGGGCCCAGGGAGACCCCAGGAAACAACCTGAATTCTCAGAAAGGGGCAGAAAGGAGAACTGTTCTGTTTAGTTGCAGTTGTCCTTGATCCCCTCTGGACAGCAGGAGCGGCAGGTGTGGCAGGGACCCCGCTCATGCTAGCTGGAGGCACACACACACACAGGTTATGATTTGGAAATATGACCTTTCTGGAAAGTGGACAGGCTTGCTCTTGTAGGTAGTTGGTGGTGACTATTTTGGCCAGATTCAGCTCCTGCTGGCACTGTCAGAAAGGCTGCAAACTGACATTGAGGAGAGCACAACTCAATTAATTCATCCTTTGGCCCTCCCTCCCCTCTGAAAACACATTCCTCCTGAAGTGTACTTTGACTTCTTGAGTACTTGAGCGTACTTCCAGCTTTTAAAAAAGATAACCCAGCACCAGTTGGGAAGACATCACACAAATACATAAACTCCTGCCGGATCCTGCGGAAGACCTGGGGGGACACGACCTCGCCGAGGACGCTGCTCACCTCTGCGTGGTGCTCTTCGTTTTGCTGTAGGACTTCAATTACCAACTCTGCCAGACGTATTGTATCTTCTAACTTTTTAGCTGGAGTGACTAACCGGCCTACATTCTCTGTAGTACAAGAACTCAAGTTAAAAGGAAGGCAGGGTGAAAAGCTAGATGAACAGTAAGTTATTTTAGAGGTTAAAAAAAACCCATAATATTCTGCAGCTCTGAAGATCTTTTCATGCATATGTTAAATGCTTATATAATTAGTACTGAGCAAACCAGAAAGCCACATTCGTTATTATACTATGAAAATACAGTGCTCCAGCTCCAAATTTCACAATACTGTCAGAGTTGGTTTGCTTTATGATGGCACTTTATTAGCTCAAATAAGAACATCACATTCCCTAAAGACAGCATCTGGCCATTAACGTATGAACAGTATGTATCCTTTGATGTAGATGATGCTATTATAGGAATCATGTCTATATTATTTAAAAATTCTTTTAAGAAGATCAATTAAAACAAATCTGTCTGCACTTGTAATAAATTGTCAGACTCGAGCAATTTAAATGTCACCTGCTACTAAAAGCAAAACTCGCAGGTCTGTCTTGCTCCAGGATTTAACTCCACAAGGGTCAGGAGTTATGCATGCTGGAGGGAGTGAAAAGTGGTAAATCCCACGCTCACAGGTAAGATTTATATGGGAAAAGAGATGCAACTTTACAACAAAAACCCCGCAAAACAAACCAAAGAGTTTAAATCCTGGAGCTTGGTGTTTACCTATGTTGAGTTATTTTGCAGTGTTTTCTGAAAACTATATAAAATAATTAAAATGTATTTTTCCAGGTAATTTATATTATGAATAACACATTAAAAATATGAGATGCTAACAATACGGAACATTTAGAGTATTTCACTAGAAATAATGTAGAGGAAAAGAAAATAATCACAATTTCCCTGAACAACAGCTTCTGCAAAGCTGACCACAGGCACACCCAGGTCCCAGACCCAGTTCTCCTGAGCAGCAAGGGCAAAGAGGGGCATTTCACTACAGCTCATATCTCTGCATCCATAGGTATTTTGGCATCTCCATGGTATCAGACAGCAGCTCACTTCCCTGGGGTGTGCAAACTCTCCCTGTGATGGTTGTTCAGAGCAGGAGTGGAGTGGGAGACCTGCCCCCTTGGGATCCATATGCCAACAGGCCAGGTACTGACAGGGCATCTCACTCCTGTCTTCCATACACCCTGTTTTTTTCCTAGTGTTTTGGTCTTGTTTACTGGTGGGACAGAAACTTGAGGTTGCACAAATTCTGCTTGAGTGGGTCACCCAGGGAGAAATCCCTGCCTTGCTGAAGGCTCAGGAAGCTTCCAGGATTTCATTTGCCCCCTCAAAGTCCTGCCAGCCCCTTGTTTTCCCTGAATACCTGTTTACAGGTTACAGAGTTCCCATGAAAAGGAAAGCTGCATGTTTCAGGACAGTCCCAAATGTGGCTGGTTTTTGGAGGAGCTCAGCAAGCTGAAGTCTGGCACTGTAGAGGCTTAGCTTGGCTGAGGGATGGTAAAGCACCATGCAAATGAACTCTACAGTTTTACTCATTTATGGCACAGATAAGGGCCTTGGGTGTTTCTCAAGTTTTGCTGCTGTTTCTTGTATCATTTGAAACAAAAAAAAATCAAGGTTCCCCTTAATATAATTTACTGAGCAAATATTGAAATTGGAGAGTTCCTGGTTAACTCCCCAGTCTATCCTATACTATCTAGCACCTCAATGGCTACAAGAAGTAGAAATCACTTCCCTTTGCAAAAGGAGCCCAAAGACAGGTCCCTCAGTAAGATCTGGTTGTTTCTGCACCTCTGAAGCCAAGGGAAAGCTTTTCCATTGATCAGTGCAGCATCAGGCCCATTCTCATTTGCAACATTGATCTGCTCTCAAATATAACTAAAAGACAAAAGTGTTAATAAGAACAACTGCTCAAAGATGCTGTCTTTAAAGAAAATATTGATGCTTATATAACTTTGGCAGCCAGCAGATGTCAATCTTAATTTTTTTCCTTCTTATTTTAAATATTTCCCTGGTTAAGTTACTATACATCAGAATATTCTGCTAAGATAGCTGGAGCACTGACAGTTACATGAAACGTATACGATATACTTATCAAACATTTCATCCAACATCATGTAAAGCTCATACATATTTATAGTTTCCATGCAAAATGTTATGCAACAACAATGTTATTTTGTGCTGACGTTGATATTTGAAAATGTTGCATATGTCAGACATTGCTAGACAAAAAAATGTGGACATTTTGAAATAAATGCTACCTCTAAATCTCTAAAACCTACCACGTCGCACTAGGTGTTCTGTATAAAGCTGCATATGAGGACTAGCTTTCTACTGCTACACGAGCGGCTGCTAGACTAGAAAACCACTGAATAAAAGAAAGGAAGACTATTACAGTACTTGGCGGCTGTTTGGCCATGCCTTTGAGCATATGATCTATCATGTTAGTCTGCGTTTGAGGAGATGATGGTGGCCCAGCCGGCGGCTTGGGCTTGGGCGGACGGGCTGGTTGTGCATGACGGAGAGAGAGAGACGCCAAAAGTAAAGAGACAAAATGACTTTATAAACAGTGACAAAAAGATGGGAATTTCAAAAGGAACATAAGCAGAAATGATCAAATACAAATGGAATAAGCTGCTGGGCTTTTGCTTATCGGTATTTGGGGTATTACATGGTAATGACACCATTTGACAACACATATTCTAGAAGTCAGCAGATTCGAACATCCTGAAGTACTGTGCAATCAGAAAGATAAAAATTCAATGCAAGTATGAAACCACACTCCGTGCAGTCACACGAGGAGACTGAGATGGGTTAATTCAGTTAAAACTCTGGAATTCAGAAAAGGTGAACTAAAAAACACGACTTGAAGTCGGCTCCCCAGTACTTAGGCACGTTTAGCAATAGAATAATGAGCCATAAGAATTAATTGCTTTGCAAATATCAATTACACATTTTAGAATTAAACGTCACTGTTGGTTAAAGGGAGCTATAAAATATTCTTGTGCAATTTAAACATGTAAAAAAATCTGTCACTTAAAAATGTGTGGTTCCTGATCGTTTCCAGCTCATTTAATTATTTTCAACTTGGAATTCTAGTGGCTTTTATATTCTGGGTTGAATCATATATAAAAACTTGCCAGCTCTATCAAATATGTTACTTGCTATTCCAAATGTTAGAATACTGCAATCAGGACTTGACCCATCTGTCATATAGTTTACAATATCAGCATAGGAAAAATTCAAAGAAAATAGCCTTTCCTTTTACATACACCCAAAGAATAAATTATATACTGTGAATATATTAACACAATAGTTTCTATTGCTTTTAATAACAGTTTTTAGCAGCATTGTGACTATTTTTAATCATGTCATTTGCAAGGAATCTGGCATATTTATCTGGACATTCTATTGCCAAAAGTCCTTGCCATTTTGCTTGCATTTTCCAGTGGGGGAAAAAAAAATCAGTTGGCTTGTGCAAAGGAGATTTCTGATTGCTTTTATTTCTCACAGAACTGTAACACTTATCGAAGTATAATAAAGAATATTCGAGTAAACCATTAAGGAGTGTGAGTTAGGCTGGTGCCCCTCTCCATACACAGGGGTAGATACGCATACATACATAAAAACACACACAATGCACACACGTGTGCACATGCACACTCACACACACACATTTTTAATCTTTTAAGCTGTGTAATGATTAATTCAAACTCTCAGATTCAAGCTACTGGCTTTCTTTCTTTTCCTTGTTTTCTTACAACAGGAAAAACAAACCTATTCATTCATCTCTGGAGTAATCCTGATCTTTGTTCAATGTTTACCAAGGGTGACTTTGTCCCCAGAAACAAACCTCTCAAGCTCAAGTGACAAAAATAACTGCTTTTTGGGCATTGGCCTAATGACTTTTTCTCTACTTTAAAACATAAGCAAGAATTCAATTTGGCTATGCACTGACTGCTCATGGAAATGTAGGAAGAATATTTTACTGCCCATCTCTATGGAGTGAAGTTTGTGCCAAGGTCTCTGGATGGGAAGGGATGGTGGGGAGAGGGAATTGCACATCTCCTCCCACCCATATCTGACAACCACAGGGTGGAAACCCCTCACTACCCAGGGGAGTCTGTTCAGTGGCAAATTTGGGGGTGTCAAAGACAGAGAGCTCTTCCTAAGAGTGCCAAAGCCAATGTGAAAGGAATCTGAGTTGCACAGCATTGCACACCTCAGCACTGCAGCCCTCAAGCATCCTTAAATGTGGAGTCCAGCCCCTGCATCCCTAACAGCTACCCATCCAAAAATAGCTCTTAGGCTTCACAGACATCCAGACTCCAGAGTGTTGAACGGGCCCGATTAGCACAAGTGTTTTCTGTCCTAGGGAAAAGTCATTAATAGAGAAGGAGGAGGAGGAGGAAAAGGCAAGAGATGCAGCAGCATCTTCACGAGTCGCTAGTGCAGCGCGTACAGAACAGCTTGGAGGAGGCTCCCGCTGTGCAGTTGTCAGCACAGTGCCCTGGGGTGGCTCTCACTTCTCTGGGGGGCCTGTGAGAGACCCCTCCAGCACCTTACCCTGCTCCTGGAATCCCCCCACCACCACCCGCTCTTGGAAACAGGCTCCCACAAGGCACTGGAGCAGGCTAAGAAACAAACTCTTGATATAATTCTGATCTGGCCCAATCTGCACAAATATTCAGCTTTTTTCACACATTTCAGTTTTTCAGACCCAAATTCAAGGCTCTTGCATGATGGCTGCAGAACCACCTGGAGCTGAAGGAGGGGAAGGGTTCTCTCTGTTCCTGGGGCACTGAACACTTATAAGCCCCACCTCATGCTTTTCTTTGTCATCTCTTTATTGCAAGAACATTTAAAAGATTAAGGAAATTGTTTAATTTCCTCTGCAAATTTAAACAGAAATGGGGTTGTGACAGCCCTGCACTAGGAGGCACCAGAATTCATATACTTCTCTAGCTTCAGGTCTCAGAGATGACAAGTGAGGTCCCTTTCAGGGACTCAGCTCCTGCTCAGAGCAAGGGAAATGTGTGAGGCTGGATGAGTTTTACAGCACTTGCTAGTGATCAGCTGTGGTGTATGGCAAGTTTTGTTTCACTTTGGTTTTTCTTTTTCCCTGTCCTTTTCCTCTCTGATCCCTCACTACAGCCAGTTTAGTATCAGAAATGCTCTTGTACCTGCTGCTCATGTGTGTCAGATGAGTTTTAAACACCTTCATCACTGAAATCAGAGCCAGGAGCAGCTTTTTACTGCCTGACAAAGTGCTTTCCTGGACAAACTTCTAAAGGTTTTTATGCTTCTGCATGACATATAAAATACTTGCAGAAGCTCAAATTACTTGGAAAATTCTGGGTTTGTGCTTGCAATGAGCTTCAGCCTGCAATAACAGGTATATTGATAAATCTGTGCTACTTTGGGAATAGATATTGCATACATTTCATTGTGTGTGACTGTACAGACTAGAAGATTTTTGAACTATGTATTTCTCCCTCAGCACCATGATTTCTGCTACATGGGTTACTAAAACATCAACAACATTAAGAATGCAATAGGAGAAGAATATGATGGACTTTCCATATTTTTTAGAAGCATAGCCACTGGTTCAATGATTTCCTCATAATAATGAAAAATATATGACCCTTGCTAAAGGCTTTAGCATCCAAGTGTTATGTGTGCATTCATTTGTGAGCCAATCATCAAAACAATATAAAAAGCTGCTGTTCTCAAGACAACTATCAAGCATAATGGACTTAGCCCAAGGACAAGGCAGGGCAGCCTTCTATTATACCCATGAAATTAATCTGCGTGTATCTGAAAGGGATTTCAGTGATGATATTTTTTCTCTCAAAATAAGATGTTTAATTTTAAAGAAAAGAAAAAATTATAGAAATGTTTTGTCTTTTTAATTCAGAAAGAGATGCCAATGCACCTCAAAACCTCATCATACCGAAGAGATAACTGCTTTCCTGATTTTCTAAAGATTATTGAACCTACTGAAGAATCTGTGCCTTCTGAATTGTGTCTCATGCCCCAGGCAGCAAGTTGCTCCCGCAGTTGGTGAGAGACTCACAGAAAGATAACATCAGAATGCAGATCTTCAGATTTCTGAAGCTCCTGCAACAACTTTGTACTGCTTTAGACACTGCCTTTGAAAGGGCAAGAGGAAATCTTGAAAGCTGCGTAATGATTCTTTGTTAAACACAGCCGAATGCCACTTCAAGGAATGAAACAAATAAAGCAGCATTTCAGCACACATGGATACAGCCTGAGTGAAAGTATAGGATTTATTAATGACTTCACCCTCCGCTCCTGCACACAAAGATGGATGTTTTCATATATTTTACATATTTATTTACTCAAAGAATGCAATTTTATTTTCTTTTTAAGCTTTGTGCTTTATGACAAATGCTGGAGTGATTGCCCAGCAGGGGTTGGGCTGACAGAGCACCAGGACCTCTCCTTGCCTCGGACCTGGTCAATTGACAGGCAGCTCAGCTCCTCAGCTGAGTTATGGATATGTGCACAGAGCCTCCCAGGCTGAGATCCAGAAATAGGGAAGGCGAGTGACGTAAAGTGAGCATGGGACTGTGACAAGGGCCAGTACGAATGCCTTGGAAAATGCCACTGCTTCTCAACAACCTGCTGTGTTGCTCTAGTCTAAAACCAACCTCTCCTGCCTTCCATGCCTGCTGGGGCGAGGGTAGGATCAAGATGCTCCATGGCTGGTGCCAGCTCGGGCTGACGCAGCCCAAGCTGCCGTGCTCAGCCCCTCTCCTACGGGCGCAGAAGGGTCCCCAGCCTGACACAGGCACCTGAGGGATGTCTGCCTCTGTCCAGGCACTGCAGCTGCCCCTCGCTGCTCTGTGGGCAGCACTGAGCCCTGAACTGACCGGGTTCCAGCTTCACACCCACCTGGCACCACCACTGGGGGTGTTTTCAAGTGAGGTCAAGCTTCTCCAGGAGCCCACCCAGCGAGGCCAGTGTGTGCCAGCCGCACAGCATGGCGAGATGTGGTGCCTTGGGAGACTCCTTCCCTGCACAGGGGATGGAGTGGCTGCTGGACATGCAAAAACCTGGTGTTTCTGGATAGCCCAAGAGTAGGTGATTTGCCTTGGGGACTTCAGTGGGTCCCTCTGCTCTCCAGCTTCTTTCCATGAGATGTCCCACTGCTCTGCCACCCACGCCCTGGCACTAAGCACCGAGGTGAGACCTGTCTCCATCCCCATGTCTCCTCTCTGCACCAACTCAGCACTACCTTGAGAAACCTCTCCTTACAGAGACCAAACCCAAACTGCAATATGAGAATTACTCAGTCTGAAAACTGAACCTCCCTGGCCCCAGTCTTACACCAAACAATCAATTGTCAAACTAACAACTATTGTCTTGGCTGGCACCACCTCTGAAGCTGCCTGTACCCAACTCCAGCAGTGCAAGGTGGCATTTGTGTTCATGGGATCCTTGTGCATAAGAGATGGAGAAGTTATTAATTTCTAAAATAATTATGTATTCCTGACTTACATAAATAAACAAACATTTATTAAAAGGTGACAATTATTTATCTGAGTGTTAGCAGCAGTTAGTGTCTGATTAATAATTAAAGTATTTTATTTTTAATTATTTTAGCACAGTTTCCTGTTTAATGTCCTATTTCAATATTTTAATGCAAGGCAAGAAACTACACACTTCTCAGGAGAAAGGAGAACCAAAGGGTGACACTTGTGTGTTTAAGTTGTTTTCAGCATCTTATTTTTATCCTTGCTTCTGGCAAAATAAAAAAGTCAGGCCAAACCCCAGTCACTTTTGACTCCACTTAAGCTGAGGAACCAGTTTCAAGTGAGTCTTGCTGACCTTGTCTGAATTTTTTTTTATTTAAAACAAAGGGAGATTTGTGGGCACAAAGCAGTGGAGTCACAGCTCCCTGTGCCCTTTCACTTGCTGTAAGCATTGGGAAGAAGCAGGTTATTTTTAAACAAGCTGGACCATAGGAATGTCCTTCTGAATTTCTAAACTGCAGGCACGTGACAGGTTGTTGCAGTGAGCACGATGCTCTGTGTAGTTATTGTGCTTAATGCACAACAGCCTGTGCTCACTCTAATTGTTACAGTTAATGGTAGTAATTGGGACTGTTCTATTTACTTTTGTTTATTTGCACCTTTCATAGATGTAAGGAAAATTATTCTCCATTTTCTAAATATTGATTGCTATTTACAATTCATTTTATATGATGCTATATATTATGGGCCAAATTTGAGCTAAGAAGATCTGGGAAAGCCAGAACCTGTCCCAGCCTCTTGTAGTGCTCCTCTAAAGCAATTTCTCCGTGCAAACAGAGCTGAAATCAACTGGATCCTGTCTTTTTTCCCCACAAAACAGAACAATCTACTCACAGAAAGAAATGAACAGTTCAGGTTTCAAGGACTTTGGAACTAGGACTCTGGGATACAACAGAAACGAGAAGAGGGGCTGCAGAGCTCCACCATCCCTTCTGCAGAGATGTGCACTTGAGCTGAGCCTTTGCCTTGTTACATGTCACCACAGGTTATAAACGAGAGACAAACACGACTTCTGTCCCACCAGATTGTTTGTTACACATTAACAAATAAATAGAAATAAAGAAATAAAGAAAAACCCAGTCCTCCCATTAGGGCAGAAAACAGAAGGTATGAAAACCAAAAATGAACGTTAGTTTACTTATAAATGTGCTTGTTAGGTGTGGAAAATTAATGGCCAAATTACCAACAATTTTTCACCCAAAATGAGCTGCAGTTCTTTGTAAAAACAAGAAACCTTCTCTTCACAAAGACTAGATTCTTCTCTACAACTGTCTCCTAAGAAGGCACTACATCTCTACAGGGTATTTTTATTCTACGCTCTATTCTATGAAAGGAGGAAAAGGAGATTATGTAGACAGCACAAATTAACTCCTTAAGTATCAATGCATCTCCATTTTCAGCCTGAAGGAGTACATATCTTAAGGAGCTATGAAAATAGAAAACAAAATAAATATAACTCAACAGTCCTAACAATTTATAATGCATATACAATTGTTCACCTGCATCCTTTTGATTCTCTATATGAAAGAGAGAAAGCAACAAGGAGAGAAAAGAGAGAAACAAGAACAGATATGCAGGATTAATGAGCAAGTGGACTGCACAGCCCCCCAGTTATGCATGATATATGACATTCGAAAAAAAGAAAAGTCGCCCCGTCTCGCCCCCCGCCCCCCCGAGCGTGGGGTTACCAAAGGAAGCTCCTTTCACGGAGGTGAGAGAAAACGCTGCACAAATAGAAAACCAGAGAGGGAGAGCTCTGAGGACACAGAGGGGGTCTCCGAGTGACAGCAGGGTCGGGGTGTCCCCTCCAGAGCTCGGTGCAAAGGAGTAAGTAAAAAAACTGAGGAGGAGAGCAAGTAGAGTGCATCCTTTGGCTGAGAGCTAACAGACAGGAGACATTAAGATCTGATGTACAGAGAAAGGACAGCCTTATACGATCTTATACACAGGATTGGGTAAAGATTTTTATACGCAGGCAAAGGGATGGCTTTTTCCAAGTGTCCTTTATCTGACCTCTAGCTCACTTCACAATGTAGCTGCTACCTTTTGATTGTGTACCAGTGACAAGCACTTTACAAACTGGGGTTACACAGAAGCAAAGTAAAAATGCATTCAGGTCACGGACATAAAGAAGAACTGAAAAAACTTACAGACAGTCTGAGTTTGTCACAAACAGATGGGTTAATTGTCTAACCTTGTTTAGGCTGATAGAAAGTGACTGGACTTCTCACACTGGGTTTCACAGACAGAAGCAACAGACAAGCCAATGCTAAAAGACTTGAAGCAAGGAGAGTGAGTTGGTTTGGATCTGGACTTTCTTGAGGTAATGAGAACAGAGAAAGTGAGGACAGCATGGAGAGGAGGGTGGTAGGTACTCACGAATGGTTAAATCCATCACTTGAGAGGCCAAGCAGAAGACAGGATGCTCATACATTTCTCTCTTTTTCCCTATAAAAGAGGATTTGGGCATGCAAGAGGCTTAGGTCAGAGGTAAAGAGGTTACAGGCTATAGGTCAGAGGAAAACTTTATATCAGGTTAAAAGGAAAGCCACAGAGTATTTTGGGATACACACAGAATAAAAAGAAGGAAAAAAACAAAAAGAAAAAAAGAAAAAGGAGGGTTACAATTTTGAGATCTACTGGATTAACCATTCAGCATGCCCATGAGTCACAAGAGAGGTTGTGACCATGACTCTAGAGGTTTGCTCTGAACTGTTTGCAAGAATATAATGATCAAAACATCATGAATAGAGGGAAATAGAAGTTCATTGGTTTAAGGCTCCGAGATACTAAGGATTTCAGCCTTCAGTATCTAAGGCTTTCACGGGTATTTCTTCATAAGCATAGCCTCAAGCACTGCTGCCACAGATTTGGTTCTGGATTTCTGACAAAAGTGCCATAAACATGTGGCTATTCAAATGTCATTCAAAAGCAAAATTTCAAAGCCATGTCCAGCAAACAGGAATGTGTCTCACCAAGGTAAACTTGTCATTTGCTCTTCTAAGGAAGAATTTGAATATACAGTGGACTATGCTCATGAGAGAAAACCTGATGCATGCAGCTGGCGGATGTTGGGTTGTTCAAATTAACAATCCCAGCATGCTTGGAAATTGGTGTTACAACCACTTTTGTAGAAAGAGCATCAAAAAGTGGCTGTGGCCAATCACAGATAAAGGAGAAGAAAAGCAGAAGAGAGCAGATAGTGTGGAATGAACTATTTCTCTGAAAAGGCAGCTGGAAAAAAAATAGGTTTGTTGCTTCAAAGTATTCCCAGACCTAAAAGTCACAGTGCAAAAAGAGAGTGCAGATAATTAACACAACCAAGAAGAATTGAGGCACAAAAGGAAAAGTACACACTAACTGTTCTACTTTGGAAATGAATGCATTTTTACTTACAGATCATAAAGTTTGTTTTTGCATAGATTTATCTGAAAGAAGAGAGCAAATCTTACCAACGAGTTAGTGATATTTATACAGAGAACCTAAGGGGGCCAGCCCTGGGTAGAAGCATCCATCAACAGAAAAGCTGTTTTTGATTCTCAGTCCTTCTCCATCCTTGTCAAGTATATTTAAATATTGCATTTTACAGAATACACCAATTAAAGTATCCTCTGAAGCTGAGTACTTCGATAAATTGCCTGATAATACAGTGCTTATGAAACCTTTGTTCCTCCTCTATTTTTGTCACTCATTACCAAGTCAAGAGTTGATAAACATCCTTTTAGTGCCCAATTCTTAAGTGTTTCTCACTGGATGCATAACAATGAATTCATTACCACTGGTACACAATTTGCATCATTAGACAGAAAAAAAATGGAAAAAGAGAGGACATGTCATGTACAGAACCTGGACAATTTGCCATATAATAACAACCCAATTTTTCAAGTAAACAAGAACTAAGAACAAATCAGAGAGAGTTTGAGTTTGGGGTTTTTTTTTCCTCCTCTCAATATTGTCCTATAGGCATACAACAATAATCTTGGCTGTGGGAAAGCTTCACATCACACATGACAGAAACCCAGAGTCTAGAGCAGAACATACCATTTATCTGGAACACACAGGTTTAAGTAATTGGGAACTTGGAAAAAGTTGGATGGGAGTTTCAAGTTGGGAATAGCAGCCAACAAGGTACCAACATAAACTGATAACATATAAAGAACGACGAGTCATAGAGCTTCAGTAACACATATCCTCCAGCAAACTTTAAAATGTCTTTTTGATGGCTACATGTGTCTCTGGTCACTGGTTATTATTCTCCCATAACTTAAAAGGTCAAAAATATCAGCTTTGCCAGATTCAGAGTGACAAGAAAGAAATCCGATGCAAGTATGGGATCACTGATCAATGACTGCAATGCAAACTGCAAAGACAATGAAACACACCCAGAAAAAAAGACATTTTAAACTGGCTACAAATGATTAAACATAGATTAAACAGTTTTTCAGCTTTTTATTTGTCATTTGTCTCCTGAAGTGTCACAAGCAATTAGTTGCACTATACCTTCAGCTGTAAAGATGACATCCCAAGTATTTCTCAATTTGTTTTTTAAAACCACGACGTGAGTCTGAATACTACACCACTGGCCAAATGCACTAACGATCAAAGGAAAAAAAGCTACAGTTCTTTTTAACTGCTTCCTCTCTCTTTTCCAGAAAAAGAAATGATTTGCATAGCTTCCATTCTTAACTGCTTCCGAAGCCAACACCATAAAAATGATTCTGAATCACAACAGTTTTACCGACAAGAGAGTAAATAGCAAATGAGCTTTTTTTAAAGAGCTCCCAGCCACCTAAGTTGCCACCTAGAAACATAAGAAAAATTGTAATTTCAGAAAGAAAGAGCCTTACCTTCAATTTTGGCATACTCTGATAGTCGAGTATAATTGACTAGAGCTGCTTGCTCCAAGCATTTACGGATGACTGTTTTTACCTCCTCTTGAGGGACCGGAGTAACTATGTCTTTCATCAGAACCTTGACACAAGAAAATCTGATTTGTTGTGGCACACAGAACTGCTTTTCTCCAAGCCCAGCACAAACATCCATTCCTATGCTAGTGCTGTGTGGCTCTCAGGGCATGTGTACAATCCACAGGACTCACTACAAGGTCACCTTGGCCAGCCTAAGATGTGGGACCTATCCCTGCTGCATTACTCCCCTTCTGTATCTACACTGTACGACATGCCCTGAAGTCTGTGATGATTTTTCAGGGTATGACATTAAGATCTATCACAACTTGCCCAGTGCCAGGCAATGTTTCTCCCTTCCCAGGCCCTACTGACTGACCGGGTTTGGGTCTGGACTTGGCCATAGTGCAGGTTAGCAGAGGTGGGAAGAATGTTGGAGCAGCAGGAATGCAGGAATGGGGAGGATCATAGTGAGCAGGTTTTATACATCCAGAGAGAACAAGTCTGCCTCAAGATGGGAATATCACGAGGCAGCAGCCAGGCACTGCTGACAAGAGTCTGTGATGTGGATCTTTGCAGGCAGACCCTTCACCCTTACCTGACAACACAGACATGGGCCCTGCTGCCTTTACTGGTCAGGCTACACTGAGGCAGGAGACACCAATCCCACCCAAGCCCCACACTTCAGAGTAAAATACCATTAATTACCTGTCCTATGCAAAGCCAACAGCTCCTCAAGCCTTTTGAGATGGAAGGATGCATGAAAACAGACCATTTTAATTACTCTCTGCTATTTCTGTGCTTACCCTTTCCAGCAATGACAGAGTGGCTTTCAGTGCACCCTCTGGACGGCCAAACGGAAAGCAGTACCTAGAAAAAGCACATCATCTTAGCATTAGACCAAGTGCACATGAACAAGCCTTTCCTGAGCTATAAGGATGCTTTCCTAAATAAGTCCAAGCAATTCTCTAGTCTCTCTGCCTGGAATGAGCAGTATTTCTATAGAGCAACTTTCTGAAAGGGTTTTTTGGTGTAGATGCAGCAAAAGAGAATATGGGTTAGTAATAAGCTGATAAATTTAGCAGTTTCTTAAACCTGAGTGTCACCTGGAGTGTTTTTAGATCTCCTTGGAGAAATAATACCATCTTCTTGTAAAAATGGGGAGAAAAAGCTCCTCTGTAAAGGACATTTACTTCCACCCTGGTGCATTGCACCTGGCCATCACCCATCTGTGTGTGAATTTGCACAGCCTGCCCAACCTGACCAGCGTGCTGGGGACCATTCATCCTTTTTTTGGGGGGATATCAAACCTTTCTGTCCTGTGACATCCCTGCAGAAAGCCGTGCCTGTCAATACTAGAGAGAAAGTAAATGCGTAATAACTGAGCAGAGAGGAACAGAGAAATATGAGGATAAAAGATTTTCTGTTGTTATATTTTAGAAAAAATCCACAGCTTTACCATGCCTATGGGAGCAGGATGGTTTGAAATATCCTTTAAAGGATATATATTTAAAATCACACGCCAGCTATAAACATGCTTCACTGCCCTGTGTAGGTCTGTGTCACTTATGCAAAATTCCTGTGTGCATTCAAAACCTGCCTTTTGGCTTTGCTGCTTATAGGAGGGAGCTGTGAGGAAATCATTCCTCTCGCACTCAGCCTGGGCTCTGTGCCTTTACCTGAAATGTGTGATCTGATTCTCCAGCAGCACACGAAGCCGCTCCTTGATCTCTTCGAAACGCTCTTTCTCATCCACGGTCACAGTTCCTATCCCGTCAGGCCTGCAGGAGAAACGCCACAATGACTCAGACTCCACCCTGGGACCTCATTCCACAGCACACTGCCCCTTCCAAAAGGACCCTCACCAACTGTGAGACCTGGGACACAGGATGTGCCATGCTGAGACAGGGGTGGCTGCCAAAGTAACAAAAATAAACAAGTATCCTCTCTCACAGTGATAATCTAGATGTGGACACCCCACTACCTCCTTATTTTCATTAATAAAGAAGTTGGGAAAAGCAGATTTCCCTCTAAATACAGGTATAGGCAGGGAATGTAATGTTAGCTCTCACGTCAGGATTGAGCTGGTTGCTGGTAAAATAGGGACTGAATTTCCCCAGAAAAATTCAGTCACTAATTTATCACAATTCACAGTATAAAATAATATCAATGACATATATATAAACATTAATACTATACATTAAACATTATATAAACATTAATAATATAAAATTTTGCACTCCTTCCTAGCTGCTGAATCACCCCATTACAGAGATTTCTTGAAGTGAACCATCTTCAATATATTCTGCTGAAATGTGCCTGAAGAGTGACATGCACTTTGTATTGAAAATGCAATGCCTCTTCAGTCCTTTAATTTTAATTTATAAAAATGAACACATTATGCAATTTATTGTAAATTTTCTCAGACTACTTGATGCTCCTCTATTTGAGGAGTGCACAGGAGTGTGTTGTGAGACACCCAGGTCCTGCCTGCTGCCTTGGGGTATTTCTCATCTTTCACAGAGCACAGTGTGCAGACAATCCCTGCTGAGGCTCTTCCTGGGGGCTGGATAATGCTGTGATCCCCGTGCTCTTCAGTCCCATACCTCTGCTGATGCCAACCCACCCAAGAGCAGAGAGCAGCAATCCCCTCCTTCTCCCCCACACGGCGAAATCCGCTGTGCAGCAGCATCCCAGGCGAGGGGAGAGAGCCTAATCCATCCCTCCAGCCAAGGGATCGGCCAGGCACACAATCATTGGCACTGCTTCCATTGCTGGAGAGCAAAGTCTGTGGATTTGTGTACTCCTGGGCAACTCTGCTGGCACAGGCCATCTTTAGGTAACGTAAGACATCTTGAAATTGAACAAATGTTCTTACTTAAAGGCCTCCCCCAGTGTTCAGCTTAAGCTGCATAAATCCGCACTACTAGACTGGTTTGGCTTTACAAAAGACTTGGCAAGGGATTACAAAGCTTCTAATGAACCTCCTGTCAGGGGTTAATTGGTTGGCTTTATTTTCCTCTTAAAGAATCAAAGGCCCTAAACTTAAAAAGGAAAAAAAAAAATCTATAAAAAAATTAAAATCTATAAAATCTGTGCAATCACTTCTCCTCGACCCTACATTTAGTAGGCTCTTAATATCATAAATATGAACTCTGATATTCCAACACAGGTGAATAAACCATTAAAACATTTGGGAAGAGGAACTTGCAAACCGTACATGATATTTACTGCAAAATTTTAAAGCTAAATATACATTAAATAAAACTTGCAACATGGACACAGAAAGAGACTTGAATACCAGGGCATGTATTTAAAGTTAAACAGCATTTAATCAGAATCTTTATTTGATTATTTGCCAAATTCAGTTGTGTATTAAGGAAAAAAACAGGAAAAAAGGATTTAGGCTGAAACTTGGATAAAATGTCTCAGCTGGGGAACACATTTCATAAACAATTTTGGAAGTATGGATCTGGTCTCATTAGTAACTAATTAGTACTAGTTATTTTGAAAAAATGAGCAAGCCACAAAAAACCCAAATTAGATATTGAGCAAAAATTAATGTCTTAACATGCTTAATATAATTTATTCCAAAGTTCCATAAAATATTTAATATTCAGATAGAGATGTCCGTGCCTTTTGTGATGCTGTGCACCTCACAGCGCCTGGTTTGCTCCCAGGCAGAGAGAGATAATTCAAGGCAGACCACAATAAATGTCATATATTAAGGTGCAGGGTTGAAGCCCTCATTTGACTTTTGGCATTTGGTCCTTGCCCTGTACCCACAACAGCTCAGAGTGTCACTGGGTTAATTGTATCAGCACTGACAAACGAGGCAGTAAAAGCTGCCTGCCCTGGCAGTGATTTGCTGTGGGACTGGAAATGGTCTTAAAATTGTGTTACCCTTTGCTGGGTCAATAACCTCAAGTGGTGAGATTTAATGGCAGGCTCTGACAGCTCGGGCTGGGTTGCAGCCCTCTCACATGAATCTCAGCTTCTCACTGTACTCAAAGCACTCACCATGTAAGAACCTGTGGTGGACACCCAGCACAGGCTGACCTGACAGCATCAGCTGTGTCCTGGCTGGGCAGTGGCAGCTCTGCAAGCATCACTCACCCACACAAAGACAAAGGGTGAGCTCTGGAGAGAAAACCTCTGGCAGCTTTTGCCCAAGTTACAACATCTGAAGGGATGCCAACAAAATCCCTAAGTCACACACACACACACACACGATGAAAGCTTAATCCTTTGGTCTTCCCCTTTCTTGGGACCTGTGTGAGCCAGGAGGACACAAACCCAGTGGCTCTGGCCTCCGGTCCCTCCGCACCGGGTGTGAGCACCAGCCGCTCTCATGTCGCATGCAAACTTGAGACAATCCACAGGTCAGCTGTAGCCATTTTTGGAGCACTGTGGATGTCTGGAAGGGCCTGCCAAGCGAGAGCCATCACCATGGCAAGGACTCCCTTTCTCACCCAGCTGTGGACTATATTGCATCTGACATGATGAGCATCTCTTGAATCTACCTTTCAGATTTTCGGCAAACCATTTTCTCACTGTCCTTCACAAAGTTGACATTTTCGGCAGCATGATAGGAAAGATGTCATGTCGGCTGCTTTTCAAGTTGTTGTCACAGTGGTTAGCACCAGTTCTGTCATCTTTGCTTTCCTCACAATCCCCCATCTTGAGCCATGTCACAAATAATAATACTTCCGATGTTTTTGTCAAATTTCAAATACTATAACCCAGTTGCACATCTTTGGATTTACTGGTTATGTTAATCTTTGTTGCTCATCTTCCCAGAAGCTGAAGCATTAGAAACTCATTAATTAGTGACAAATGCAGGATATAGATAGAACTGGAAAAACACTACCCAAAGCCTTCCACTTAATTTATTAACTCGATAATTTTGAAACCTAATTAAATATTCAAGTCAAATATACTTTGAAAATATAATCTTTCTGAGGGAACATATTTATTTTCCCTTTTGCAAGAACACAAAGGGTAACTTAGCATCACTGTAATTTAAGATTCACTTCTGTGCTCTAGACAATTTAAGTACATGGCTGATGGGGCTGAAAAAAATCTCCAGGAGAAGCTCAAGGTGTACAGCTCATTCTGATGCTTATTGGCAATTTTATTCTCAGCTAAGGTCCCTCTTTCAGCTCAACTTTGGTACTAGCTTTTTGATCTCATGGACAGAAGCACCAACTCCTCCAGTGAGCAGCATCTCTCGAAGCTGCAGGAACTGATGTTGTCACACACAATTCACAACCACATCACTATTGCACTGAAGCAGTGATGAGAAGTGAGAGGAGAGCAAAAAGGTGGAACAGAAGTTTTGGATGTACATGGTATATACAAATGCACGAGGGACAAAATGGGTTTGGGTCTATGAATTCAGTTGGACAAACAATATTAACGTCTCCATCTGTGTGGAGACACAATTCCATCCAATTCTCTATGGCTCCTGCTCACGGGTACTTGAGGTGTACGGCAGAAGCTGTGGGCAGAGAGGGAAGCAGAAGGGCAAAAAAGGCAAGAAAAATAACTAACGAGATTTTTAATTATAAGTAAACAAGTTTCAGATCACTCCTTCTGCTGCAGATTCACTGTGTTGGCTCTAAACTAGTAAATTCCCACTGTAAATATTTCATATGAAAAGTTTTAAATGCCACTTTCCTAATCCCCCCATGTTTTTAAGTTTTAAGCCACAAAAACAACAACATCAACAAAGCAGGTGGTGAAATTTAAAAAAAAGGGTTGCAATTTAAACAGCAAAAATGATAGTCCTTGTTTAGCTTAGATGGTTTGTGCAAATTCCGGGGTTAATTATAAATTATAATTAGGACCTGTGATCCTAAGGCCACTGCTTTATTCTACAAGTCCCGCCTCCCCCCATGCCCTTTTCTAATTATACCCGGTGCCCCCAGGGCTAGTTATGCTGCTAAAACAAATATATCAAAATGATTTTTTAACAAAGACTAATATATGAAGCAATAGCATGCATTTGTATGCAATTATAAATATACAGTATAGCTCCAGCGCGTTAATCTCTTTGACATAAGCCTCCATGAAATACCACGTCGGCTTCTAAATGAAAAGACATATCATCTTTTACACCTTTTATGTTTAACTTGTCTACACTTTTTTTTTTTACTGGGGAAAATATTGCTTACACGTAGCAAACAGATCTTTGCACGCACTGTGAGCCCTGGCATGCAGAGCCAAGGGAAAAAAAACAATGTCAAAAACTGATGCAAATAATTTGATTTTTTAAGTAACAACTCAAATATAAAACACGTGCTGCCTTCAGCTCCCTTGCTGGTTGCCAGGTGCAGCACATATGAGCTATACAGTAAACATCGATGATTAGTGCCTTGGACGGCATGTGTCAGGAGAGGCTTTCGCAGGATCCCTCGCAGGAGGAGTTGCCTGCGCAGTCCCACCGGTTGCACGAGGACGGGCTCTGGGGATGTGGGCAGGATCATCTGGGGATGTGGGCAGGATGTGATCTGCCTCTCACATCTCCCCCAGCGGACCAGACCTGAAAGAGTCCACCTGCCTACACCCCCGGGAAAAAAAGTGTATTCAGCAAACGCCGCTTTTCCCCAGCTCCCCTTTCTTCTGGGGACTCACCCCGTGCAGGAAACATCGGTGAGAAGCCCTTTGTTCACCTCGGGGCTCCTGGGCTGCCGAGCATGGGAACCACTCAATCTCCCAACTCCTGCTTTCCCTCCGCTCAGGCTCTCCTCCACGCCGCAGCGCCGAGCCAAGTCACGGCTCATCGATTCTCATGTGCGATCCGCACCCCTGACGCACCGCGCCGGCACCCGATGGTTTCTGAGCCCTGCCATCCTACACCCATTGTGATGAATCGTGTCAGCCTCCTGCGCTGAGCTGGTGACCTGCTGGTGGCTGGCAACCCAGCCCTTCAGCACAGGCAGCGCATCCCATCCGACAGACAGCGGGAGCACCTGCTGTGTCACCACGGGCTGATGGTGGGGCTGGATGGGACACGGAGCCTCACGACAGGGTAGAGCATCACACCCTGCCAGGCTGAACCTGCCTCACTGCAGCCAGGGCGGGGCATCTGAAGTGGAAACTCAACACAAAGCTCTAGGGGAGCACATGAAGATATCATGATAAAGTGTACTTTACTACTTAAGGGAAAAAATAATCCTGTATTTCTTTTGTTTCAACTAGCTGTGTGGAAATCTTTATGTGAAACAGACCAGATATGTAATTACAATACAATGGAAAAAATTGCAGGTATGTCATGTAGAGTTTTCAATTCCTGAAGATTTATGACATTAGCATATTCTGCTGGGTTTATAGTTGTAAAACAGTAATGATAGCTAATTAGCTATCGAAATAGCTTCTTGAAAACAAGTTTGAGGCCATAAACTACAGTTTACAGAAGAAAGGGAAGTCACTAATATACCCAATTAATTAACAGAGACACTCGTAGCTGCTTGCACCCTAGGTAAATAGTAGTTGTACGACTTGCAGAAAATTATGGTACTTAGTTGTTATTAGACTGAAAAGAATTCAGTCCAGCATCCTGATTTTGATAAGCTCAGTCTGCTAATATTTAGCATGCAAACAATCAACATTTAAGGCTGATTTTTAAAAGTTTGGGATTAACAAGCACAAAAAGAATTTTTCACAGTGCTAACTTTAACATTTAAAAATTAAGCTATTCTATGCCTAAATAAAAAAAAAATTGCACAAGTGAAACCAAGGCCATTCCTGAAAGACACTTCTTTCCAAGGGACAGGAGCCATTGCTCAAGATTTAGACACTAACTTTGGACCTTTTCTAGGTCCAAAAGCTGAGCTCAACTTTCTGTTCCACAATGCTTCTCCCATGTGCAGACAGGGAAGCAGTGAGGCTCCTCTAACACATCACCTCTCTGTGTGTCAAACAGCACTGGCAGTACTGTCACAGCCCTCCAACATGAGGAGAGCAAAAAGAAGGGAGAGAGAAGGCAGGGAAAAACCTCAGTGACCATGTAAATATTTCCAGAATTTAATCTCAAATCACAGTATCTTTTCAAAACCCTTCCTGCTCCTGCCTTTACTAGTTCTCTGGAGCACTACTGATAAAGAAAAGCAACACAGTGCTGGTACCACAAGCAAAGAGACATCAATAAATATATGACATGTGTTGTCAGATGTCTGGATAACCCTGTGCCTTTACTACCTGTCACCTATGTAAATACTTCAGAAATCACATTTTTTCATAATGATAGGTCTTTACAAAAGGCATCCTGTGACACCAAGTGCACAAAACTCCATTACCAACTAATGAGTGACCACAACAATTAAAAAGCACTGAGTTTCTCATTCTCAGTGAAGAGCAAGTACATGAGGACAGTATGGACCCTGCCTTCCCCACACCCTGAACCTGCATAGTTAGGTGTCCCAGGAGGCGAAACTTAGGGCAAGTAATTTACACTTAACTCCACGTCTACTTGTGAAAAATATGAAATTAAAAGAAAAATGATGTGGACTGTCATGCAAATAGCAGTGATCTAAAGCCTTGGTATGCAGAGATCATGTCAGGGGTCTGAATAAGATACATGAGCCCAAAGGAGGGGGAGACCAAACTCTGACATGCAAGGCAACAAACTGTCCACAAAATCCCATTTTGACCACTTCACCTGCTGCAGCCACGGGGCCAGCCCCAAGCTAGAGCTGCATTTCCACCAGCAGCCTCCCTGCTCCCGTCCTGGCTGCGGCAGCGCTGCCGAGGCGGGAGCCGGACGGGCGAGGAGGCATCATCCCCACACTGACACCTGTCATCCTGTCAGCCTTGACCTTCAGGCTGTCCTCAGCATCCACAGCCTGCCTGCACTTCCCGCTGACTGCGAGCGACTGTTGTCTCGCTGCCTGACCTTATGCAAACACGATACAAACAGACAGCCCACCTCAGCTCCATCACTGTCTGCTGCTAATACAGGAGATTGATAGCCACATGAAATTATCTCCCTGCTCGACCTTCATTACTGGGTGGCATATTCTGTCTGACAGCCAACTTCATCCTGGGGAAAGCAAAACCACCCGTTCAGGGGGTTTTACTGTCTAAAAGTGAAGGAACTCTTCTTTATGAAGAAAATCAACACTTTTTCAGATTTGATGGAAAAAGAAGCCTTTGTTAAACACAAAAATGTCTTGTAACTCAGTCTTTCCCAGACCACTGTGCATCCCAACATCAATGCAATGCATGGACACTCCAAGATGTTCTGTTGGGTGCTGTGCCGGGTCCTGGGGCACCTTGACAACTTTTACATGGAAAGTTTCAGCTCTTCCATGAGCTGGAAGTTTCCTGGGGAGAACAGGGCCATCATAAGGCAATGAGCAATGTATGGACACAGCAGGTAGGAGGGAGGGACAGAGCTAAAGCGAGTGCAGCTTTACACACGGCACGGGTAAATACTGGCTTTCCATCCCTCTCTGCCAGCCAGCTCGCAAATGCACGATGCATGTGACCTCAACAGCTCTCTGAAAAGAAATCGTGACTCTTCCACTCAGATATTCAGATTGCTTAGAGTAGACAAGAAAGATACGGAGTCGCGTTTTTCTCTGAGACCTCCTGTGGTCCCTTTCTGTGACCTTCTGGTAGCAAAAGGCAGACGCTGCACCCCGCAGACTCCATAGCAAACTGTTAGGTGTTAAGCAGAGCCTGCCCTTGGTGGGAACACGCAATGCTGCAGCCTTGCAGCTCCCACACTGAGCCTCCCGCAATCCCCAGGCAACAGAGAGACAGCACAGACCAAGAAGGAACGTGAACCTTCAGCTTTCGGATGTGAAGTCAACAGTCAGCTAAAGACAGCTAAATCATATAGCAAGACACCTCATTCCTTTCTTGGAATATTTTAAATGAGTGACTGGAATAGCCCATCTGTGGCCAAACTGCCCCTCTGGTGATGCCCAGCAGGTCCCCATACAGTGCAGCAGCCACACACATCCCTGGACAGCTGTACAGCATGGGACTGTTTGAAAGCATGACATTTTCCCGTGCCCACATCTCTCCAGCCCCATGGAGAGAGAATTGTTGTCACTCTGGCCGATACCATCAGATACCTCCTGCCACCAACCCTGATGAAGAGGAAGCTTCAGCCCTGGCTGTGCTGGACCCTGTGCAGGGGTACATGGAGTAGCTGTGATGAGCATCCCACCTCCTCTCTGCTATGGGCCAGATGGGCTTTGAGCCAAGTCCTGTTCCCACACCAGCTGTCTGCTGCGATGAGTCCTGCCTAGGACAAAGGGCAATGGGGCAGCCACTTCCACTGCCCGGTCCCATCCCCAAAACACCATATGAGCCGTCTTCTAAACACACACCTAAGAACCTAAGTCTCAGATCCCCTACAGGACCTGGGTGCCCAGATGCTATCCAGCTCCCAGGAGAGCACGTGACCCGAACTCAGGGGAGTCAGGCCTCCCTGAGCCATGGGATGCAACTGCCCAGTGTGCTCAGTGACTGAGGAGCCCTCTGCAACACACTCCTGTGCACTGCACACTTTTGCTTACCTTTTCGGCTCTGGATTCGGCTGGGTTTTGGGCTCCTTCTTTTTTTTGGACTCCTTTTTGGAATCCTTTTTTGTCTCCGTTTCAGCGGCAGAGGCTTTGCCCCCGTCACCGTCTGCACTTGGCTGTGACCCACCAAGTAATTCTGCCATGAGTTGGCTTGGGGGAGTGATTGAAATGCGGGGGGCAAGGCCGGCAGCAAAAGCAAAAGAAACAAGAAGAAAGCATGAAAAACCTCAAAATAAAACAAAAGGAAATTAAGCTGAAAGGAAACAACAGAAATCATATAACAATTGGCAAGGAAAGAACGAATGAGCAACGGAAAGTCAGAACTAAAAAAGAAACTAAGGAAGCAAAACTTGGTTTCCATGACAAGATGTATGAAAGTAACTGCAAAAGCAAGCGACAGCCTTGCAATGTGAAACCTGGGCAATGTGTGTTGTAATTCAGGGTGGTATTTACCAGAGGGTATATGAAAACACCTAATTATTTTATAACATTCCATTCTTCAGCAACATATGTAGGATACAAAGTGATATCTCAAAGTATACAATATAAATTAACAGAAAAAAAAAGCAGAAAAAGGAGCTGCAATAGATGCCACAGCTGTCAACAAAATAAACGGAGAGGGGTGAAAAGCACAGCTCCAGTTCCTCCCATCAAAGATTTGTCACATTTGAGAGAAAGGAACTGTCTTCTGAAACTGAAATTGCTTTGTAACAGAGCAAGATAAAAGTTTCAGTCATGTCTAAGCAATTTTTGAACTGATGTCACGTGGGCTTTAAATGAGACATGGGTGCCCAAGGGCTTAAAGCCCTTCTGAGCACTGAAGTTTGATACTGCTGAAAATTTCAGTGCTACAACTTGTCAGATCCTCTTGCACAGCAATTAAATCAGCACAGTGTATCATTTGCTTCTATTTATTCAACCCGTGACAGTCACAGGGACGCAACTGTATCTTGTTCAGAACTGCATCTTAGAAAGTGCCTGGGCAAGTAAGTTAAAAACCTTCATTTCTGGATCCTCTATGTGCATTTTTACTGCTTACATTAAACAAGCAATGAAACAAACAAACAAACCGACTATGCCACTAGAAGTGCTGCTGCCAAACATCCACCGTGAGAACAAATTGGGGACTGTTGTGCATTATCCAAGGAAACCTATATTTGACAAAGTCATCCCTTGATGGCAGGGCGCTGCTAGCCAAGAAGAATTCCTTACCTGTTGCCATGAACATGTGATGCACAAAAGGCAAAGCTGTAGTGAAGTAAGGTGGGGTCAATCATAGCTCCGTTTTCTGCGCGCTCTAGCAAATCTCTGAGGTAGCAGAGATGTCTGTGACAGCCTCTCACTCCATTACGTGCACAATACTCATCTAGCACAAAGACCTGGCCAGGACTAAACCAGCCCTGTTTAGAAATAAAGAGACTTGATTTTAAATATAAGTTATTAAATACAAAGGCTATCAGATTTGGAGGTGTAGTGGTCAACTGTTCTAATAAATGAAATACAAACCTAAGGCTACATTAAGGAAAAAGGAGAGAGGTCACTTAAACAATACAGTCTGTACATCATCACTCAAACACAGTATATACTCAGTGCAACCATTAACAAAAATGTATTATGCTACCATTAAAGGGAAATGTCATTTAAAATGCTGAAAAGTTAGGCCAGTTCATGTCAGTGCCTAGCAAAAAAATACAAAGGAAAAAAAAGACACCTTTAAAAGATGACAAGGTTGGGTCATTTAAACAGTGTGAAACAGTAGTCTCATTCTGGGGATGGGATCGTAAATTTGGCCAGGAGCAGGAAGATTGATCGGGGGAAGAGGACAGAGGATTACACTGAAATGTGACTTCTCTTGCATCTGGCAGGTAGGAATGTCCTGCAGACGGAGAAACGCAATTCTGCAGTACCAGAAAGGGACGTTTCCCACTGTCCTCATTGCGTGCCGCCGGCGACATGCTCTGACATCGCCCAGCTCCTTGGCACCGAAACAAGGGGAGCTCTCCTCAAGAGCAGGGTTCCTTTACACATCCAGGAACCTCAGACCATCTCTTTGTATCAGTCCTGAAGGGCTGCTGACACAAGGCTTGTGGTGCAGTGTCCGGACTCCCAAGGAGGACGCCCTTCCCTGCAAGGGGATGGCTCTGGTGAAGGTCCTGGGACAGCCGAAGTGGAGCGTGCCTCTGCCTTCAGGAAAGGGGCTAACGAGAACAAGAATAATCTCGTAGATTGCTTTTCAAAACGCTGCAAAATCGTCAATATTTACATGGAAATTTGGATGCTAAACAATTGCTAAGACGCAGCTCTGGAATGCATCAAGCTGCAAAATCTTTCATCATTTAATTGAAAAGTTCCTGCAGCGGGCGGGAGAGTAGTTGAGGCAGAGCACTGCCCCTATAGGCAACTTCTTTGCCACCCCATCTGTTACCCCAAATGCTACATCTTAGAAACAACACTGCTGTGAAAGATTAAAATATATTTTCTACCACTCAGATGACACCAAATCTTTTCTAGATGCCAAAATAGCTGCTTTGAAAAGAGTTGAAGAAATATCAATTAAGAGCTCAAAGACATAGAGAAGGATTTGCTCATCCTTATTGGGCCAACTCCAAAACAGATTGAGAAAAGAATTAAAATAATGAGGGGAAAATGATAGATATAGGGAGTAGCTACAGTGCTGGGATCACTAGAAGTGCACATTTCAAAATGAAGACACAGAACAATGCAGATGGGACGGCCCTCTGGAAGGCTATTTTTTGGGAGGGGTATATTTGCCTTCACCACTTTTAATGGTAATTTTGTCTGCTTTTTGTTGGTGTATTATGTTTGATTCTGGAGTTCTTTATGTTGCCTGTTTGTTACATCCTTAGACCATCTCTTGTCTCTCTTCGCGTAAGTCTTCTGTGATCAGGCATGGTAAAAATATGGAAATACTGTGATTGCTCTGTTTTTGGGTATAGGGGTAGAAGTGCAGCTGAAATTGTTATATTCACCTAGTACAAAGAAAGAACTCATTTCTCCCTATGGGGTGAAATCTTGGCTCTACTGACAGTGATGGGAAGGCTGGCACTGATTTCACTGGAGTCAAGTATCAGAGTCTGAGGCAAAGGAAGCAGAGGCTGAACCCAGCGATCTGGAGCATGCCACATTGCTCCCCTGAACTGGGGTCTGTGATGTGCTGGTGCTCAGGAGAACAGAAGGGATGATGGTAAACACCCAAAATCGCTGCCATGGTGCAATGAAGGGAAGAGTGAGCAGAGATCAGAGGTTCAGTGATGAGCCCCAGACCTCATGAGAGCACAGGCAGCAGATACGGAGCCCAGGAGGATGAGGAGATCTTCCTTTGCATGGCAGAGGTAAGAAATAAAATACTTGCTGCTGAATGGGGATCCAAAGGAGCAGTAAATGCTGCTCCCCACAGCCCCAGAAAACCCCGCCAAGGTTTGATGAAAAGCAGTATTCAGGCAGATCCCAAACATCTTCAAGCAGATCCTGGCTCCTGATGAAGATCTGCCTGGCCCAAGCCGCTGACATCCAGCCAGCCTGGCAAACGCAGTTGACAGTGATGACACACGGGGTGTCTGTCCCCAGGGCAGATAGGCGCAGTTCAGCGTGGCCTCACAGATTGTCTCCAATGACATGAGGAAACCTGGAGGGGACGATGGAGGAAGGGCAGAGAGCACAAGGAGCTCCACTGACTGTGTTCAACAAGCTGAACTGCTCTGATAAGGACACACATCCCAGGCAGCAGCAGGGAATGCCAGGGGAGCTATGGAGCTGGGAAAAGCAGGGCTTGGTCAAGGCTGGTCACACATAGGCCAGTTGTCTAAAGGCAAATGCAACTTTTGAGAAAACCAGAGTTTTTGTGGGAAATCACACATTTCAGTAGCTGAATTTTCCCATTTATCATAGGAAGTCTAAGAAAATTTTTTCTTGGTGGCCTGCTTCATGGATCTCTTAACCTGACTCCCTCACATCATCTAGGTTAGGCTGGGTACTCTGAAGACCTTCCCCTGGTATGTGCTGTGCTGCATAATGCAAATTCTGTGGATGCTGATATATCATGGGCAATATAGCTCCAGCAGAGAGATGGCTGTGTGAGCTGGATGCTGGCAGTGGGTGAAGTCTTGGGAAGAGTTGGAGGGCAGTTTCAGAAACAACACACACGTCCAAGTGAAAAGAATGAAGACCCATGCAAGTATGGGGCCCATACTAAGCTGGAACTGCTGAATACTCTTCTCAAAAGTCCAGGAAATACTCTGAGTGTGACTAAATCATCCATTTGTGGATAATGGGCAAGACCCCTCTGTAAGCTCTGCAGAAAGAGTTCTTCCCCCTCCCAACACAGAGCTCTCTGCCAGTAAACATCACTTCTACCATGGCTGGGATGAGTCAGCCAGGCTGTTTGTTTTCCTAGGGACGCCTGGCTCAGCCCATGACTGGGCTCACAATAGTGTTGTTTAACCTGGTTCCACAGAAAGGAAGTAATGCTGAATTATCCTCTGTGCCAGGGTAAGTCTTTCCTGTCACCTCCACATCCACGTTTGAAAACAACAAGAGGTGTGACGAGGCAAAACTCAGTGGGACCTTGCACGGAATGGCCTGTAGGGAATAAGAATTGCCCAGTGGCACACAGTGGACACAGCAGGCTTACCACGGGCTCACAGCTCCTCCAGCCAGCTCAGCACTGTGCTATCACCAACATTCCAAAGACACAGCAAGAATAGTGGGAGCTCTTTGCAGTTTTTGAGGGCAGTCTGTTTTTACACCATAATCAGGACAAAAACATGGCAAAGTAAGTCAAGAAGCACGTGAAACCAAGCATAGGTGAACACAGGCCATTATTCTGTTCCTTACAACACTGCAATGGGTGATTTGAAAGAAGATGGTTAATTGGTGATGCTCCACTCTGAAGAGGATGAGTCTTGGTGCTGAGGGGAGCTCCACCGCTCTGGTAGCTTCTAGCAAGGACCTAAACATCTCCATAACAAGCAGAAGTGCGGCTGGTGGCTTTCTTGAAGAAAAACATTGTTAATCATTTTCAGTGATGGCCTCTCACCTCTCCATGAGTTTAAATCAACGGCCACAGCTCTCTCACTAGGCCCAAGACTGCACAGAGACAAACCAGCAGCAAGCCAACCTCTCAGACATGCATGGATGGGGATGGTCTTCCTAGGGTCAGCCATGCGTGGGGAGCAGAAGCTGCATGCCAAAGTCACTGCCTGCCAGAGCAAGGACCTTGATGGAACCAGTGAGGAACCTGCTGCAGGTCTGACAATGCTCCCACCAAGCCTACTTGTACCACTTGGGTATCTGCAGGTAAAGTGCAGCCTTCCCCCACCCCGTCCTTACCTCAGGGGATGTCCACAACTGTTCCTCCTATCCCTGCCTCTCCTCAGGAAGGTGACAACTCACTACTTGCTAGTGGCATTTACTGCATCTCAGTCCTTCAGAGGAGACTGGCCCTTGTGTGTGGTACAAGGAGTAGGGCAGTGAGAAGAGCACCATGGTGGAGGGGGAACATGGAGGGCAGGATTTGAGACTGACAGCCTCCTTGCCAACTGCTCAGTTGTGTTCCCAGGCTGCTGCTTTTAACAGCAAGGCATTCAAGATCTCCAGGGACTGCACAGCTGGAAAAGGCTCTTGGCACAGCATGGTCTTTCTGTTGAAGGAGCCCACCACAACACCCCAGTGTGCCACCCTGCGCAACAGTAGGAGGGCTGCAGGTCAGAATCTGTCCCATGCCATGTTCAGGACAAGTCCTCTGTTTCAGGAATCTCTAGAAAGGATTAATCCTGTTGTTTTCTCAAAAGAGCCACTTCATCCTCCTCACTGAAACTGCTAAAAATTAATTGCTCAGGTTGCATTGTTATTCATTATTTGCTATTTAAGCCCTTACAGTACATAAGAGCCCCCAAGCACTGCACCCCAGTCAAAGGCTACAAGCTAACCTGAAACGTCTCAGCATCACTGTCCTACAGTGGGCAACAGGCTGCAACTGCTGCTCATGGGAGTATTCAGGATGGGCATGCAACTCTGTGAGCATGGACAGACTGCAGCAGCACTGCAGTTACCCACACAGTCCCATCTGTTACCTGCTTGGGACCCCTGCTCATAAAGAGACACAAAGCTGGGCCACAGTTATTCCTGGTGGGACTCCATTGACATGGGAGGTGGTACCAGTCATCTTTTCCCTGTTCTTTCATCCAGAAGACTCTGGAAGGCAGTGCAGGAGGCTGCAAAACACTGCTCTCTACTTCACATTCCCACACTGGAGTTTTTCTTTGCAGGAAGAAACATTTTAAACATTGCAAACAGAAATTATAAAGACAGTGCGACTGGAGAAGAACAGCCGTCAGCTCACTGCAGGCAGCCTCTCAAAAGAAAATACCTCTGGGCCAAATTCAAACCTGGTGTAAACAGAAGTTAATCTTCCAGCAACAGGGGGATTAGCCCCCAGTCACACTAGCTTTGACTTTGCTGCTTGATGTTTATATCACTAGAGACCAAAGAATATACTTGCCAGACAAGAATAGGAATCATTAAGTCTGTGGTCCAAAGTGAGGCGCTGAACCATCTCAAAGAGTGAAGCGTGGTCAAAGTTACAGGGATTGGAAGAGATAAATTCATCCATGCCATGCTTTTGAGCTCTATCTGCATCTGTTCATTTATACATATAGAGAAAGACACCATTTAGAGAGATATAAGACATTTTAGTTGACAAATATAACAGAAAAAAATATACAGTATGAAGCATGAAAGCCAAGTATTTCCTCTTCGCTCCATTGCCATTACGTTTTCTCTTTGCAGGCTATACAGTACACTTCACCTCCCATTGTCAACTTGCATCAGTTATGGACTATATTATTGCATCTAGGCAAAAGATTTTTAGAATTAACATCTTGTCAACTGCTCATTATAGTGCATTTATTCTGTACTTAAAATCAGAACACAAACGCACAAATTCACTCTGCATCTTACAATAGGCTATGAGTTAACAGAATTTTGGCTCACATAAGTAAATTAGCTCCTATTTAGATAGTTGTGGTTAATTGTAATAATAGATTCTGCCATTCTAATGAAGTTACAGCTTTTTTTCTCTACATTTACTAGGTTTTCTAGGTATCACACCAGTTACGTTGCTCTTTCTCCAAATGCCAATGTTTGTCTTCCCCACGGCAATTTTTTTTCCTAACAGCAACTTTAAATGCTACCTCACTGAAATAAAAAGATGCTCTTTTAAGCATTGCTAAGAAGTTAAATTGATATGTAGTTTGTTGTCACAGAGGCAGTAACCCGACAGTGCGTCGGAGCTGCCAGTCATCCCGATGGAGAGACTGAATTTCCTCTGCCTAGATTACAAGCTGCCATTTTTGGGTGAATTAACAGCCTCAACGTATTCACACTTCTCTGCTTTGGGTGACGTTTATGGGCACTAACTCCTAGGGGCTAATTAATTAATCTCAACGTGGTTAACTAAACTACACCGAATTCAGCAGTTGAAATGAAGCCTCCAAGCCAGCCTGGGTGCGGCCAGCCAGGACCCCGCTGGGAGCAGGTTTTGTTCTGGCAGCGGCTGGGGAATTAAAGGACACCTTTCACTTGGTTTTGTCTGTGCTCAGCTTCCTACTATATGGGTTCTTGCCAAATCCTCGACAAAGAAAATAGGATTTAAATCCTTCCCCTGTTTATAGCCTCCTAGGGGAACTGGGTGGCCTTGAAACAATGTGGCTGAAAGGACACAAAAATGCAGTTTTCCGCAGCAGGAGTATATGGTAATTGTATTTGTTTTAAAACAAAATCCCTCTTTAACAGAAAAAAAAAACCCACCAAAAATCTTTAATTAAAAGGAAAAAAAAGTTTTAAATGAGAGTGAGAATGTTCTTTTATATATGTTTTTCTATTCAATATTTAGCTGTGAAGGATGGCATGTCTTTCCAAATACCTCATTTGTGTCAGTGCTCTCACATAGTAATGATCATTGGTAGCAATCTTTACATTTTCTGTATAGTCTGTCGTTATCTATATACAAACTGTATAAATAACATCACTCACTGGAAAGAAATCAGACGAACTGAAACATGTAGCATTTCAATTAGCTGCTAGCAATACTTAATTCAGCTGTAGCTGGCAATTTTCCTCACTATAACCCCGCTGAATAAACACTGATGTTTTTCCTACAGAGGATTAATTTTGGAGGGTCTGCTCCCCTGTTTCGCTGTATGTGCTGGGTCCTGCTGCCTCCCTCCCAGGACCCAAATCCCACCCCTGCCTCTGCTGTGCATTCTGCACCAGGACAGAAGCAGCTGCCGATGATGCTGAGTGAGGTGGCAGCACGAGGGCTGGCTCAGGGGAAGGGAACAATCTCCCTGGGGAGCGCATCACCTCCATGGCACCTCTTCAGCATCCCTGGGCATGGGATGTGAAGCCCACCCAGCCCTGTGGCCTGCAGCACAGACTGGCTCCTGTCTGTTTTGACAGCTTTCTGCCCCATTGTCTCTGTCCCTCTGGGCCAAGATGGATTTGATTGCATTCACTCCCAAAGAGTTCAGATTTGCTGTTTTCATACCATCCCCAGTGCCCGGAAAATGTTTTAACAGCTATTATCAGACTATTTTTAATGGCTTGCTGCTCTGCCCGGCTCCTTGGAGTTGACTGCAAGCTGACAAATTGGCTGGAGGCCTTCATTTGCCAGCTTTGCTCAGAGATTTTATTACTTTTCAATTAGGAGCCCTGATACACTGTCAATCCTCCTGCTCAGCCAACGAGGCTCTGAGAGCTGAGTAAATCAGCTGGAAATTGGAAGAGTCCTCTAGCCCTTTAGCTGGTGAACCTTTTTGAGCATATGTGCTAGAAAGCATGTTCGAAATGAGTATTTTTTATTCCAGACTAATAAGCTTTTTCCCATATTACATTCTCTGAGCAAGGTGGGCACACAGCAGACCTGCTGGTGGGAACCGGCTGAAGCGCCACTGGATTCCAGAGAGCTGAGGGTCTGGCTGGGCTTTTTACAATCTCCCTGCCCAGGGCAGGGGGCACAGACAGTTCCCTGACAAGTGTGAGAACAGACACAGTGATTAAATATCCTCCACAACTGTCCATAATCTGGGGCAATTTTACTTTCATTAAACACTTTGAAGCCACATCTTCTGTTGGGTGCCTGCTCGAAAGCCCATTTGCCCCAAATCTCTCCTCATCAGAACAACCACATGAAGAGAGAGACATCAGACATGGCACTGTGTGAGCTCAAGTGACCAGAAAAGCATTATGCACATGACTTCTGCTCAGTCAGTGATTTAAAATGTGGATTTCTGCCATGGGAAGGAGGATGAGCAGCTACAACTCTCCCTGCATAGCCCAGCGCCACAGCTCCTGCATGGCCAAACCATTTCGCACCAGCAGAGATGCAGGGCTGGGTGGATGCACACCACCCACACAGGGGATACAGCTGTCATGACATGAACTGGAGATGTCTGTGGAGAATGGTAATACAAATGTGTATTTCTTTCAAATGGAATATCAGCTCTGGACCAGATGCTTCACTGGGCCAAAATTCTTAAAAATAATAAGGAGCAGGTTAAAGAAATCAATACTATACTAAACTCACCTTTCCTTAATTATTCTAAATAAACATCCCACACACCTTGCAATTTATTTTTGCATTTTGATTTTTCCAATGGGCTCACTTTTAAAAATGAAATTCATTAATCAAATGATGCCATTAAACTTCGTAGGCAACAGAAAAAGAAAAGAACAGATCTAAATATATTGTGACTCTGCTTCAGAAAAATATGGCAATTTAAAATAATGCCAACATCTGCATATGAAGTAAGTTTTACGTATAATCCACCTCTCAAAATGGCATATACAGTTTGAATGTGATCTTAAACAAAGTACAAAACGATAATGGCTAATATTCACACCCAAACAGTACAGAAAATTTTTAAGTACTTTAAATTAATTGTTTCAGTCAAATACAGCTGCTTTTTTGACCCTGCTCTGTTATTCTAGCTAAAAAGGAAGGAGAAACCAAAGAAAGAAAGTTATATGATGCTCCAGTAATTTGCAATCCCTTCCCAAGGTGCCGTGCCAAACTCGCTGGTGTTTCTTTGTTCGGGGCCCCAGCTGAAATGCTGCTGCAGGCCCACAGAAGTTATCTTACATATTTAGACAAGCTGCACACAACTGCAGCTGAAAGGTGTTCGATGGTGGTCTCAGGAGGGAGGCTGCCAGTGGAGGGACGTGGCCAGCACAGGCTCCACAAACCTTTCTTCTGCAAAACTGCAGACTCTGGCCTTTTATATAACATTTGGTCCCCTACATTATTGCCTTTTTTTAATACTGCTGGGTTTATTTTGTCCATTTTTATCCAGTTTGCATTTTGTGCTAACTCCATTAACTGGACCCCTGTCATACACACCCTCTCAAAATGTGTTTGAAATCAGAGTCTTAAAAATCTGCCAGTGTCAGGAACACAAAGATTTCAACAGTAACAAGAAGCATGAAAACCAAAGGACTGTCCCACTGTTTGGTTCTCTGAGGGCTGTATTTCTCTTTATCTATCTGTTATTTAAAAAAGAAGAGACAAACCAGTCAGATCCCTCATTCTTTTTTTTTCTTAAATGTATTTTCCTGCTCTCTGCATTTCTTTTGCTCCAGCAATAATTTTGGCAGATTTTGCTTCGAGAGCAGTGAAGTTAATAGTGGGGGACAAGCTCCATAAAAGAATTCTTGTTATAAAAGGCTTTAGGTAGCCATTTTATTGTAAGAATTTCTTACTCCAGAATTGTTTCTTTTCGTTAATGAGTGACTTTGTCTTAGTACCAAAGGCAACTGAAAATCTAATAAATTTTACAACACATTTCCCTGTTGCAAGAACAATAAAAATCCACCAAACAAACAAAAACCCAAACAACTGTAAATTAAAAGGTGACTTTGTATCTTACTCATCTGGAAAATGTGTGCTTGTCATATCTGCTTGACATTACAAGAATGAAGATGTGGTTTGGACAGTAACAAACAATGACACTAGTCAACCTCATCAGGAGACATGAAATAAAGGAATGACAATGATTGATGGCAGCTATTCATTTACAGATATTTCTAGAAAAGTCTTTGCTGGCCTGGCTGGGCAAAGCGGGAGAACTTTTCCAGCAATGCACCAGGGCGGACGGCTCACGGAGCGCCCACTGCAACCCACTGCCTGTCCTGAGGGGCAGCAGGGTCCCCATCTGCTCTCAGACACATTTGGGCCGTGACTTGTTAAAGAAATACCCAAGAAGTGCCTGAAAACCCCATTTGGTTTGCCTGTGTGAAGCAAGAGACTTCTCCAGCAAACAGCCGTGTTCTGGAGGGGGAAACGCTAAATCCCTGTACCTGGATTAAAAAGCCGGGTGGACTGTGAGTTAGCTGCTGGCAGTGCTAGCTGGTGACTCACCACATCCCCTCCTCACTGTGCACTGTGCCATTGCCACCTCTGAGAAGTGATGTGTGTGTGCTCAGGGCTCTGCAAACCTGCTCCCCAAACCTGCTCCCCAGACCTCCTCCCCAAACCTGCTCCCCAAACCTCCTCCCTGTGCGGAGCTGTGGCCACCGCAGGAGCCTCAATTCACCCCTCAGCTGCAAAGCCAAGAGTTCTTTCTTCTCCCTTTTGTATTATT